TCAGGTTCTAAATGACTTAAAACCACCCTGTTCCTTCCTTTCAGCTTTTATTGTTCTTAAAACCGCATCACGGACAGTGGCGTGCAATCGGGGATGCATATGTCCAGCAGTAGACGCTTATAACCGCACCCCCGGCTGGACAAAACCGTGGCTGACCTGCAATCAACATTAAGATATCAATTGAGCGACAGAAATTAATTAGAAACTGGATGGGTTAGTCTTTCTCAGTTCTCTCTAGATTGTCTTTTAAAATCAGAATCAAATATAAAAAATAAATAGTTATCAACAATACCTTCCACAAAAATAAGCTAGTATGTAATATAGAAAACTTTACCAATGCACTCGAACCAAATATTACTGTTCACTATTACAAAAGATCCACTCATGTCCCCATATGATTGATGAACTATATAGAATACACAACACTTTACAATCAATTCTACAAAAAATAAACCTTCTGCCACTGAAGATAGAAGCGAAGATGATGGTATTACTAAGTTGGTAACGCAGTATGTGGTTGTTCAAGAATGTATTTCTTTAAATTCTGATGTGTCCTTCTCGATATAGATTTAAAGATTTAGATAAGATATATTTGAGTTACCGAGGGCGACTCGCTTTGTTATTCTTACCGACTGACTTTCGTCTACTGGAATTTTTAAGTTTTTTTTTCTTTGACGATAGATCGGTACTACTTTGTTGTAGAGATGTAAATGTAACAATGTATTAGTTACGCTGTTAGCTTTTTGAAGATGCAAGTTTGTTTTGTATTTAAACCACAGATGAAGTCTAATACATACTATGTTGAACTTGAAATTGATTTCGTCAATTATTAACACGTCGCGACGTGTTGAGCGTACGGTACCGATACTATTATCGGTACTGTTTCTAATAAGAATTCAGAATTTCATTTTCATCTTTGTGTCTCGATACCTTCATTAGCTTTCCAACACATAATTCGGTTTATTTCCGTTAAGAAGCCACTATATTCAATGAAAACACCTCACCTTCTGAATTGTAATTTATTTCATGAAAGATGTCCAAGATCGTTTATAGTAAAACCACCCAGTAAAACCACCCAGTAAAACCACTAACAAATTATTCAAAAAAAGAATAACTCCCCCACCCCTCCTCTATCAAGGTTTTCAATTGTTCTACAGACTATAAAACAACCCGTATTACACCATCAAGCCGTAAAATTTTACTGAAACCACAACATAAACTTTTATATTAAAACTTAATAGGTCTACCTACTATATTATTATAATTCGCATGTTAAATAGAAAAAAGGACTAACTCAAAAATAAAGATATTCCAAAATTGAACCTTATTATTGAAGCATTATTTTTAAGATTGAAATACTTTATTTTTTTATTTAGGCCTCTTTTCTGTTTAGCAAACGTTGTAGGAGGCCTTTAAATGTCGGACCGTGACTTTGACGCCTCTCATTTCGGTTGCCAGCTGTATTTCAGCTCCTCACCTCAAATTTTACTTCATTTTTAGATACCTAATGAACAGTTTTCTAAATATGTAGGTATATGATTTACATATACAATGTGTGCGTGACTGAGGCAGCAATAAGCTGAACCCTTAGCCCTATAACATGGGACTCATAACACTATAATGAGGAATATTTTCTCTTTTTTATGCCATACGGGGCAAAGACGTTTTTTTTATTGTAAGCAATCCGCGCCGCCCACCCCTGGACCCCCGGACTCCCGCAACTTTAGAGTTGTTGCCACTGACAAGTGTGTTACCGACATTTTGTCGAATTAAGGAATAGGTGAGAAATATTCGGCCTCCGGTAACCGTGTTCTTTCACCCCGGCTTTCTGTGAGACCGTGGTATTACTCTGGTTGCAAGCAAAAGTAACTATGACAAAAATTGAGCATGTTAAAAAGTCAAAGAATGTTTTGGAGTAAAACAGCCGCCCTTATCTTAAGTATAATTTATCAGAAACCAACACCGGCTGCCAAAAGACTAGCAGCCAGCCTGGCTTAGTATTTCCCTTGTGTAAACATTTTTTCCAATCAAACCAGCGCTGGCTGTCAACGGTGATGAGAATAGAGTACCCATATAATTTTCTAGTCAGTGCCTGCCTGCCTGCCTGCCTGCATGCTCCTCGACCCTTTTGCCAATATGGCAAACGACCGTGGAAATTATTTGTGTCTTTTTTGTAATTTGTTTTGTCAGTATTTGCAGCGAACGATTTTTTTCATAAGAAAGAAATCCATCTAAACGATAGGAGCCAGGCCAACGCTGGCATTTCTGCAGGACTGGCACCAGCATTAACTGGCTTCGTATAAACTCTGCTTTAGTCAATTCTTAAAACGATAGTCCTTTTATCCATATCGAACAAATGCACGTTAAGTTTAGTTTGTTTTCAAATGTCGAACGTACTCTCGCTAACGAGGGCGGTTTAAAATTCGCATTCACTAAAATACTGGCCGAAGTTAAGGCATAAGCCAAAAGCCGTCATGTTAGCACTGGCAGTAAATAAAATACGCCACATGAATAATAAAGGAGAAAATAAAATCTAATTCTTAAGAACACTGCCAATAGACAGGTAAAGTGCAAAAGGTTTATTGCTGCGTAATCCTGTCTTTAGGAAAGCTATTAGTAAAGGAGTTTACGGCCGTAAATTATGTTTATGTTCTGTTCATGGCATTATGCACTTAAGACTTGTAGAGATAGCTCCCATTTCCTTTCGTAAATAGCTTCAAGATATCATTTCGAGGATAAGATAGGTATTACGTTCAAGAATGCGGTATTATGTTTTTTTGCAAATAAAAATATTTGACACAATTCCTACCCGAAAATACGCTACATTGGCCCAACGAGTCTGTTCTCGTTTCCGTCAATCCAAAACAACTTCAGGCACTATAATTTAACGGTGTGGCCCTTCTATACATGTGTCTGCTTGCTGACTTTACGATCTTGTGCCGTTTGTGTTTTACATACATTTTATTGATGTTTGTTCCAAACCTTTGATATTTCTGAAGGTATTTCTATGGTCGGTTGGTCGGTAGTTTTCTTTCTTCCCTTTCTTTGTGTCGTTTAAGTTTTTTGACCACTGCTGTGGAAGCCATAGTAAAAACTAGAAGATTTCTTACTTTACAAGGTTGCTTATGGTAGTTTTTGTAGGCGTTTGTCAAAGTTTAAGTTTCACATAAAACAGCTTGGTAGTTGGGGGCAATTTCTAAGAGTCAATTCACGTAAGAGATTCCTCTCGGTTTTCCTTTCCTACAATGTTTCCTCAATATTTATAAGAAGGTATTTGTTAAGACGTCGTTGGTCGAGCCAAAGAGTATGTAACCACTACGTTTAGGTCGAGCGACGAGGGAAAAGGCTAGCTAGTCTCTGCCTCGATCCACAGAGTATATAATTTCTTACAGTTAAAATATAGTCTTTTTTCTTTTAGTATCTTAGCCAAGTGGACATAGGGAGTTTTTGATCGTCATTTATCCGTTATGTTTAAGTGAGCAAGGACCTCAAATATGTAAACAGATACGATTTGGTAACGACTGCATTTGAATACCATTTTCAATTTATGTGTCTTTACACAATAGTGCGGTTACAATTACATACGAGTGTATTTTGAAAGGGAAATAATAAAAATAAAATTTATTTATTGTCTTGAATACTGGTTCCGGTGGGCGATACGTAGGTTAGTTTAAAATATTTTTTAATTTAAAAACAGTATCAAGTAGCTTTTGATACATTCTCTTTTTTACTGATTAATATTCAGCCAAATGGATAAAACTGTTTGCCGATTTAAATCTAGTTGGGAAAAGGTTATCAAAAAGAAAGAGACAAACCATAAATCAAGAGAGAGATATCAACATTCAGTGGGTGAGGACGTGTCCATCAGAAATATATCATGTGTTAATATAATTTCATTCACGTTTTACACAAGAAGGCACACAGAAAGGAATATTTGATAATAACTAACATCATTCAACTATATCCGATCCGAACTTGGTAGTAGATACATCCCAAACAAAAATAGAACTTAGTTGATTGAAAAAAAAAGAAAATCTGTATGAGCCAACTTCTGTGAACGGTAACTGTGACGATATTAAATACTTGGGCAATATTTCCCACAGGTCTACATAACAGCTTGCATTAACAAACTGCAATAAGGATGCAGTGCATACTGTTTTCATATCCATTTGCATACATTTCTTCCTTATAAACTTATGTTGATTTTATCGTAAGGTTTTACCTGGCACTTGCTAGTAAATTTATATGGAGCAAGACTAGACTACTATTTTGCATGTATAAGCCCTATTCTATCATTTATTAGAAAATAATAAAATATTTTTGAAGAAACCGTTTAAGAACCTGCGTGTTGAATTAATATCTTTGTTTTATCATGTTACATTATAAGGCGAATAAAAATACGAGAAGCAACAAAAGTTCCATATTTAAATAAACACAGCATCCATGCAATGCACATTCCTGCCCATACTTTTAATTTTAACAACCAACCATAACTCAGTCTCTCGACTACCAATGTTCCGATCAATCGACAAAGGCTACAACCCTACGTGCATGCATTTCCCGCGCGTCGACGCCCCACAGCGCGTGCGCGTCGCGCCACGCCAACTGTCACTTTGACAGCGTATAAAGCAATAAACGCGAATGATAAACAACCCGGCTGGTTCGGAAAACAAACCGAGCGATTGAAATAAATATATAATCATTTATTAAGTTATTGCCTTTCACTGGTATTGTCCATTTTAAACCCGTTTCGTTTGAGGTGATAACGGATTGTGTCCGGTTTAGTCAGAAGCCCTTTTAAGTGTAACGGAAGCTCGTATTTTAATACTGATCGCTCTATTAATTTTATTGTGATTTAACAGAGTGATTTTGTAAGTTACTAGGTGTTCTGTATTTGTGTGTATTGTGTCTGCTTTGTCGACTTAATAACAGTTATTTAAAACCTCTCAATGTCAAAGAAAGTCCATTCACTAATCTCCATAATAAAATAAAACAACATAAATTATCTACACATTTATTAACAGTCTTACTTCCTAACTAATCTACAGTGGGAACCATCTTTGTGCACCATCTAATCGTATGACTTCTCCATTGAGCATGGGATTCTCCACTATGCTGGTAACTAACTGCGCAAACTCCTCAGGTTTGCCCAACCGAGAGGGGAATGGCGTCATACGTTTTAGGAACTCGATCATCTTCTCTGGTAGATAAGACAGAAGAGGAGTGTCGAAGAGACCTGGAAGAATAGAATTTTTGTCACTTTCATATAAAAGCTGCACTTTCAATGAGTTACTAATAGCCGTCGTAAAGTCCAATCTACTTACATGTTTTTTTTTCAAGAAAACAGTGCTATTCCTATATTATTTGATGGTTTAACAACACCATGAGATTGAAAAGAAGCATTTGAGACACAGAGCTAAGTCAATATCAACAGATCAAAAACAAACTTATAAGGTTCACCAAATATCAAACACGTGTTTAAATGTTTTTCACCATGAAATTTTCAACTTATTGAAGAAACAGATCAAGGATCTCCATAGATACTAAGGGACACTTACCCGGAGCTATAGTAACAACTCTGATTCCTTGTGAAGCCAGATCTCTAGCTATGGGCAGGGTCATGCCAACTATAGCTGCCGAAGATGCGGCGTACCCAGCCTGTCCGATATCCCCTTCATAGGCAATTGTGGATGCCGTATTGACTATAACCCCTCTCTGTCCATTATCATCAGGTTTATTCTTCCCTATTAAACCAGCTGCTAAACGTATTGTGTTGAATGTGCCTATTGTGTTTACCTGAAACAAAAATTGAAACGTTTTATTATAATAAGGGCAAGTAATTAAGTAAAAAGTCGAGCGGTACCTGAAGAGATTGATAATAGACGATGATTTTTTTTTATGTGATAGGTCGGATAACGAGCATTCCGGTTACCTGATGGTAAGCAGTCAGTGCCGCCCACGGACACCCGCAACAACAGAGGAATTACGAGTGCGTTGCCTATCTTTTGGGGATCAGGGATTTGGATATTTTGGGATTGGGGGAGGGAAAGGATTGGGCCTCTGGTAGCCTCACTCACACGGCAAAACACACGCCGGTTTTCTGTGAGACCGCGGTGTCACTCCGGTCGAGCCCAACCATTCGTGCCGAAGCATGGCTCTCCCACACCTTTTTATTGATTTAAACAAAATAACGACTTACTCATGTGAAATAAGGCTCTACTAGTTTCAAGTCGTAGCCGCAGCCGCGACGCGCACACTGCTCCCGAATAAGAGTCCCGCTGTGACTTGACACTAGTTGAGGTTTTCTCAGTACATTAAAGTGAATAAGCCGTTATTTCCAAAAACGTCTCACGATAGTTACCTATTATTCTAAAAACGACGATGAAATTTAAAAATAGGAAACAAAAATATCAATACAAAAGCTTTTGCCGATTCAGAAATCGAGACTGATAACAATTACTTGGCAGTTAAGCATCGGACTACTCGAACAACGACTTCGTTCATTTTTATTGCTTCATTTAAAAATGATATACTGTTACCGAGACTCGTATTACAAGGAACTTTTAATCTCCTGTAACGGTGAAAAACCACAAGGATGACTATAAAACTTTAACCTTTATAACCGTTATACATTACATATTTCATTAAAACTATGTATGTTTTGCTAACACTTATATTGCTTCATTCATAACTCTTATTTTATTATCAGACTGTTATGTTCAGATATTGTATGGTTCATAAGGAATACTGCACAATATAGTGCGTAACCAACTGATGTTGGCCCCCAAATTAACCCTAGTGGCTTTTCTGGAGTCACTCTGCAAGTTTCAAATCCACTATGGTCTTCTGCAACGAAAGGGACCAAAAATCACCAAAAATCTGTTCGGGCTGTGCCGCGGTAAGTTATAGCGCTTTATCCCCAACCCCGATAGCGCATCTATTACATAGGACAAATTAAATGATTATTTTTGTTTCGTAACTATCGTGTGACATACTGAATTTATCCGACTAAAGTGAATTAACTGAATAAGCTCTACTAATACAAGTAACAACGGGACTCTTATTCAGGCAGAGTGTGCGTAGTAGCGACAACTGGATCAGTCGGCTCAGAAATTTTCTCAATTAATCCTCGGGTCGTTATTTTTGATAAATAAAGCTTACTTATTAAAGAACCCTTATTTTAATTTAATATGCGCACCTGTTCCGTGTACCTCAAACTAACCCTTCTTGGAATAAAATACGTGTCATACATACATTACTATAATGTTATTTCTTTACCGTTATTGCGCCATCAAGGACAAGATGCCTGATCAAGTCGTAAATGCGCTTCAAAGAATTTATAAACTGCAAGTCAGATTCCCTACAAATGAGTCATAAGTTTCGGACAAATAAATAAAAATAGCGCGGATTTTGATGGTGTTATTTAAAGGTCCGTCCAAGAACGAGAGTATAAAAATTGCATGACCGGCAAAATTACATTTTGTACAAGTAATGTTATATTATATAACTGCGCTTCGTAATGCCAATGGTACCAGCAGTGTCTAATGTAGTAGTAGGGCAAAAGTTTTTAATAAATATCTGTTTGCAGCGTCACAAACTAAACTTCATTTTTGTCCAAAAATAAATGTCTCTGTATCGGTTTGGATGACGGTTGCTCGTTTTTGACACAAACCCACAACGCAGGAGTATATTTACAACACAAGTTACACAAATACGCAAATACAGGTATACTCTCTTCTAATAATCCGATGGGACGGTAGTTCGACACGCCCGGATGAAAAGTAGTGCTTGCTTACTCGCTCTAAGCTTCCCAAGTAAACAGTTAATTTGTCCCTGAAACCTTTCCACATTTCCAGACTCCTGTTCATGAGAGACGTAGGTTGTCGGATCGCATCGTAAAAAGAAAGACGCCATAAAGTCTGGCGTAACATCGCTATCGGGATGTTAGGAGGAAAATAGTCACTCCATGTCCATGTATAACATATTAAAGATCCGACTGAAAATAACCTGCTGTGGTGGCCCGGAGGATACTCTTATGCAAGAGGGTTGGATTAAAATTTGACAAGTACCAATGTGACTTTTTCCGAGTTAGTTGTACCTCTTTTATTTTTTCTTATGAGATAGGTCGGCAAACGAGCAGACGGATTACCTGATGGTGAGCAATCAGCGCCGCCAATGGACACCCACAACAGAGGAGTAACGAGTGCATTGCCGACCTTTTGGGGATTAGGGATTTAGAAATTTAGGGATTGGGAGAGGGGTAGGATTGGGCTTCCGGTTACCTCACTCACATGGCGAAACAACGCTGTTGTTGTTCACGCCAGTTTTCTGAGAGCCCGTTACCCCGGTTGAGCCGATCCGTGATTAGTGCCGAAGCATGGCTATAACACACTTAAACTTTCTGTGAGTAAGTGGTATCACAATATTGTAATAAAAATACTCACATTGATACATTTGATAAAGTCGTCCATCTCACAGGCCTTATCTTTGTAGAAGTTATATATTTGGTGAGTGGACGACTGTCCAGCGCAGTTGACGAGGTTGTCGAGGCGCCCAAACTTATCTTTTACAATATCTAATGCGTTCTTTACATCTGTTTCTGATGTTACCTGAAACAAAAAGTGTAATTACCATCATTCCGAGGATATGTTTAAATCATGTGATAAGTATAATTGCCCCAGTCCGCAAATTTTGAGGTTACGATTGCGTTGCGGGACTTTTGGGTATTTGAGGATTAGGAATGTAGGTGACGATTGGCTACTGGGAAGATAGTATAACTATCAGTATCGAAGATGTTCCGGATAAATTGCGATCTTCAAGGTTGAACAAATATTTTTTCTTTATTTTTTTGGCGTAATTACATTATATGGACCTTAAATAGATCACAAATACATAATCATAACTATTAGAAATTGCAAAGGATCACAATCTACCACTTCACATCAATACTGGTCTTTTAAGCCATAAATATCAGCTAAGGAAATATAAGTTAAAAGAAAACATGTACCATAGACTGGAGTCTATGATTACGGACACAGGAGCAAGTCTTTAATTGGATAATTATGTCTATAGCCATTACATGGTGGTGTTCTAATAATAGCAGGTTTCAATGCAATAAATAACTTGCAACATCCCTTCTCTAATAGTGGCATATTTAGCCATACTTATTTGTAAAAGCCATCATTTTAAATTACAGTAAAAAACATAACACTCCTTTTTTGGGCAGTTATGAAAAATAACTAACCACCAGTTTCCGAAAGGCCGATCAATGTTAAAATCAATTTAATCTCTTGTCAAGTCATCTGATTGGTTGACTGAATTATCAACAACCAATCAGATGACTTGACAAGAGATTTAACAGGAGATTAGTTAATTTTAGCGTTGACAAGCCTTCTAAAAACCGGGTGTAAGTATCTCTTGTTTAGTGCTCTGCTCATACAAGATGTCACAATATAAAAAAATAATACAAATGTCATACATAATGTTTAGATTTCAGCTTTTATATTATTTAATGCCAGGTGTTGAACATGGAATCTCTTACTTCACAGGTGCACTTGCAGCCACTAGCTGACCAATTTCTTAAGAATTAAAATATCTTTCTCAAGTTCTTTGATCATGTGGTGGGAATAAACAGCTTAGGATGGAGTATTTTAATATCTATAGACTACACCATAAATTCTCTATTAGTTATTGATTTAAAAGTAAGGAAGCTATTTGTTTTGTTTCACTGTGTTATTGAGGTTTCAGGTGGCCCATCTCCATAAGATAGATCCTTAGTTATGTCATGTTATGGGTCCATAGGCAACGCAGATTGCTTACTGTTAGGTGGATAAAAAAATGTTATACAGAAATTATTAAATTAATCATGAATAAGAAAATGATTAAAACATTAGTAGATAGTATGATGTATAAATACTACACAGCTGGTATCGAAACCAAACTGCGCTTAGGATTCACGAGTTCTGTTGTATGACCATCATCAAAAGCCGCTTTCCACCTACTTTAGCTTTAGTGAAATAGCACAATATTCAGCTTCGAAAGCCTTTCCTACTCTCAAAATGCCAGTTGCTAGACCTTCTTTGCAAAGGATAGTATGTAATATTAAAAACTGCTTAGGACGGAGTATATATAGAATAATTAATATAATTTAGGAACTTACACAGCCTTTAGCCACAACTACATTTTCACCAAGTTCTTGGGCAACTTGCTGCGCTCTTGTACCTTGTACATCAAGAATAACGACCTTGCCGCCATTTTTCACAAATCGTTCCACTGTAGCTTTCCCTAGACCCGAAGCCCCACCGGTGACCAAACTAACACCCTAAGAAAAGAGGTTAGATTTGAGGTTATGTTTACAATAACAAAATCATGAATGAGATATGTAACTGTGAAGTAGTTCAACTTTACCTTTAGCATTTTTGTGCTTTGGTTATAGCTATGATGCCCGTACGGTTAAAATTATATTGTTTTATTCAAACTATCCCACTAAGAATCTTCATAGAATAGAATATTCACTTCACATCACAATTAATTGACATTGACACAAGATGGATTTAAGAATTTTAGATGTCAGTACGTTCCGTTTCAGCATAAAAAGCATAAAATCCTTAACATCTTTACAATACTTATTTTTAACATTCATAATTCATATATTTTCTTTTATCTTATATATGTTTCAATTTTTGTCCTCACTAATAATCAATATTGTTATGTTTTCCGACCTATAAACCGACAAAAACAAAACGTCCTCTATTTCCCAAAGTAGGGATTCGAGGATTCGGGATAGATGTATAGAAGAACCTTCTAAAGTCAGTCGTATTACTATAATGGCCGGCAGTGTTTGTTGTTTTTATTCGTCGGTACTAATTTAACATATTTGCGTTTATAGAGTGTATAACTGTGTATTGCGTATTTAAGTCGTGTGTGACCATGGCGAAGGTTGAGCAACCTATTTTTATCCTACCTAAGAAACGAAATGGAAAGAAACAGAATACAATAGCTAGCCATGTAGATCACATAATTACTGTGCAGGTAAATTTTCTAATTTACGATAAATTTGTTGGGCTTGAGTCTCTTATTGATATTAGAATACATATTTATGAGATTACGAATATTTCTAGCTAACAGTTTATTAAATCCTCCTATAAAATTATAATATTGCTTTGTAGGGCTGCGTGGCGTATGATATTCTTTTATATCTGATTATAATGTGCATAACTATACATTTAGATACAGATACTATTAAAATTAAAAAAAACCGAATAAGTTTTATAAATAGTTTTTTTTTATAATATGCAGTTGGTGGCATGGTTCTATGCAAATTAAAGATATTAAAGTAATATTATCGGTACAAAACATCACATACTCCTACAATTTTATCTGCTGCTTTCCTTTATAAATAAATAAATATTTAACTCACTTGTTCCAAACATTTATAGAAAACTTTTAATCAACTTCAAAATTTCTTGTTTGAAACAAATTAAAATATAAAACAAACCAAATGTTTCATGATCATCCCATAAATTAAAATTTACTACCATTACTTTTTCAGGGAGTTGCAGATGATGCTCAGACTAAATACAAGAATGGTCTATCACCAGTCTCTGAACATGTCAATGGAATCATACATTCAACCATGGAAGGCCTCAAGTCCAACATGAAGATAAATCTCCCAATAATCAATGATGTCAATGATGAGGAACTTAATGATTTTAATGGAGACTCTGAATCTGAGAAACATAACATCCAAAAGAATGGATACCAAGCTTTATCTACTCTTAACAGCAGCCGAGAGATAATAGATCTCTCCCCTATATATGAGAACTCTTCAGATGCTTGTTCCAGTCATGGAGATCTAAGAGATGCTAATGATAGTGACATCCAAAAGAGCTGCAAAGTACTCAACTCTGATCAGAATGAAAGCTCTTCTGCCACCCCAAACAGCCTGTCTCAAACACAGTCAGAAAACAGCTTTGAAATGGGCAATCTCACTGATAGCCTCAAAAACAGTGCTAAAAGGAAAAAACGAGTAAACATTGTTCCAGGAATTGTGGAGGCTGATAACACTGATACTGAAATAACAGCTTTGCGCATAGAGTCTGAGGGTTCTTTATCCCCTGATTGCTCTCTGACAGACAATTCTAAGGATGGGTATTTGACTATGACAGGAACTATTAAGAGAGGAAAAAAGAAAGGGCAGAATGTTGATGTTAAACTCAACATATCTAGGGAGGAGCTTGAGATTATTGAAGCAGCTATTGTGGCTGAGGAATTTAACAAGATGGACATATCCAAATGCTCTCTGTACAATGGTCCACACATTTTTCTATTCAGCCTCCTTTGCATTCCATTTGTGGCATGTATTTCAGCAATGTACTCATTCTACATGGGTACAATGGCTTGGTACAATGTATTCTCCCATGTCACTGAGAATTTAAGCTGCATTAAGAAAATATTACTTGCCCCAATAGTGATTTTATCATACCCATTCTTGATTGTAATTTTCACTGTGGGTTTGGGTCTGTATGCTGGTATAGTCCAGCTTACATTCAGTGCTGCCAACTGGTGGAAAGATGTTTGTGATTTTGAGAAAGGTTTCTATGGGTGGCTTTGCAACACTTTAGGTATGTCAGAGTGCAGTCCATATGAAGTTGTGGTTCTGATGAATGTCAAACCTTAAATAATAGTTATACATTTTAATCTTGCCAACAACACTGCCATTAATAGATGTCCATTATACATTATTTCTGCAAACTTAATGTAAATGTAATGCAATAACATGGGTGGAAGGGTATTTTTAATGCTGGATGGAAAAAGGAATCTCATTTAAATCATGAGCCTAACACATAGTAAATAAGTTCAACATACATTTCCTCATCAAAAATCCACCCTCATTAAAATGTTATTGACTTAGAAAAATATAAGATTAGTCATAAGGTTTTCAATATCCATATTTGGAGGAGTTTTAGGAAAAGATCGATTTTTGAAAAGTGATATTTATACATGGGATGGGAACAAGATGGTATACCTTTTAGATCTCTTTTGAAAATATGAATGTGTGTCTATAGAATGTTGCTCAATTTCTTCCATTGTGTCATTCCATACTTAGTGTTCCATTCTAAGCAATTATTTCTAGTCATTTTTAACCTTTTTGGTTGCATACCTACTTGTTGTTGTAAGGAATTGTAATCATAGATGTATTTAGAATAAGGTTTTTTACATATCTGCTAAGAGTTACGGAAGTAGTCGAAAATGTAATGCTAAAGATGTCAAATGATGTAATACCATGCAAGACTGGTCCAAATCAATAACATAATTTGGTCTGTCTACTTGATACTTTTAATAATGATTATGACTGTCATTGTAATACATGTTGCCAAGCACAAAATATAACATAATATATAAGCTTTCAAGCACAATACATAATTTATAATAGCGCCTATAGACAACCTTTTAAATATACTTACTGCTATTCAGGATATGTAGTAAAAATCAGTGTTTTGCGTAACAAATATTTATTGATTTCTAATTACTTTAGGACAATGCATCAGCATTTAGGTTTTATATTGTGACATTGTTTTATGAAATATTATTTCTAAAATTTTTTTGTCATTTTTTATCATGCGTAAATAACAATGTATGTTATGAAGACTGATGTATTCTAGTCACTATTGTGGTATCCATTTTCTACGCAATAAATATTTTACAAAACTGAAGGCTGTTTAACTAAAACAATATCTACAACAATAAAAATAACAGGTCTAGTCCAAACAAATTAACTAAGTTTCATGAAGTATCCTTCTGTTGGCTTGGAGCTTCCTTCTTTTGACTTTCAGCTTGCTTCGCCTGTTTAAATTCAGCGTCTATTCTTTCTTTAGCTCTTACAATTTTTGATTGCAAATAAAACGACCCACCTTTTGCTTTCTCATTAGCTTGAAATAGGTGCTCATAATTTTTATTAATTTTTTCCTTGTCCAATTTATCTATATTTAATATTTGCATTGCTTCTTCTAAAGTGAGACCTGTAGAAGCATTTGCAGCCGCTCTTCTAGTGCCTTCAGCTCCACCACCAGCTCGTTTGGCAGCCTCTTGAGAAGCAGCGATTTCTTGTTTGAGCGCTCTCGCAAAGGCTCTTCCGACTACTTGGGCACCCAAGACTATGATTTGCGCAATATATTTAGCCATGTTTTCTCTGCTATTGATGAAATAACTATTGACATTACTAGCAAAATAAATGTCAGGTCTTCCTAGCTGTCTCTGCTGGTCATGTCAATGTTATAATATGTTTGAGGTTATTTTGCGTTCATTGTTTCAATATACGTTTTTTAGCATAAAACCTAAAAAGAAATTAAATCGTAAATAAAACATAGAAACCTACGTATCAAGTATGAGTTATTTTGTGTTTATAGTCCGTCCTAAGGAAACTGTAACACAAAGTAAAAAAACATATCTTTTGCTAAAATAGTTACTTGACTCTGACTAGTTTATAGTATCTGTGGTACTTGAAGTTGAACGCAGCAGTATTGGCTTAAAGAACTTGTATCCAGGCCATTAACTCCAAAAAAAAACGCAACTATATTTTTTTATTTGTCACCTTTTTCGTTTTAAGTGACTCTTACTGCATTAGCATAAGGTTCAAAATCGGTTTCAAAACTGTTGACAGTTTCTCATTAGCTTGAACCAGTTCGCGCGTTTTTTTGACATTCGCAAAGTTAACCTGTTTGTTTTTTTGTAACGACACTATCTTTGTGAAATTGTGTTAAAAAGCTTTATTTCGTGTGTAGTTTTGTGGTATTTGTAGTTCATTAAGTGAAATAATAATGGTAAGTCTTTTTTAACATGTTATTTAAAGCAATAACCAAGTAATTACTGGCAAAACACTTCACTTCCTTTGTACCATTCGGCGTTGTAGTTTGATGCTGTAGCGGTCAATTAAAGTTTTATTTGCTGTCCATAATACGACATACGTCCTTTGATCCCTTGTTCTAATTCCTTTATTAACAAACCTGAGTTAACAACAACTTCCAATATACAGAAAATACTAACTTAAAGGTTGTTAAGAACCCTTAACTAGTTACATATCTTCGGCTTTAGCTATTTTTTCACACTTAACTTGCTGTATATACCCCTGGAAATCATCTATAAGTAAATAAACACAAAATACATAAACATACTATTAATATTATCAATTTTTTTTATACTACTACTTACATTAAAATGCTATGTTTCAGAGTTCTCCAGCCCCCGATACACCGTCAGAGCGAGATGGAGCACGGTCCAGAATGACGTCACCAGCACGCGACTATGAAATGTTTGAAGATGAGAGTGCTATCCTTGGAGACAACCCTGAGGAGGAAGAAGATGATGGAGAGGAACTTTTCAATGATAACATGGAAGCGTAAGTTATTGAGAAAGTTGAGAATTGCTTAGTGATCTTAGTAAAAATATGTCTTACTAGTTTTATTTAATCTTATATTATCTTGTTTTAGTTTTTATAGTGTAGGCAGCATTCGCAAAATAAGTTACTTCTCTGTTTGTTTTTTACATCTTGTGTCTGAAAAACCCAAGTATCCTAGGGAACCCTATTTTTTTTGCAAACTGAAATATACCATGTTACTTGTGAATAATGAAGATTTTGAATAGTGAAAGAATTTTTAAAATTGGTCCAGGTATTTTTATGCCTGTTAGATACAAATAAAGTTTTCCTCTTTATAACATTAGCCTAGAAGCATAGGGCACTAAATATTAACTCTAAGAAAATTAGCAAGGTCTTATTTGAAGAAAGAAAGAAAGAAAACTGTTTTTATTCGGACTTAGATATGAAGGACAAACAAAGAAAAATATACAACAATAAAAAAAAACAAAACAATAAAAAGTTTGAAGTAACAGGACCACAAAATAAAATAATAATAAAATTAATCAAAACAATAATTTATTAAATGCAAGTGAGACTCATGCACTAGGGTTCCTGAGAATTTGTTCATTTATTAAATGAAACAATAAACAGAATGATATGCAACTTGCTGAAAGACATTTAGTGGAGTCTTAGTTACTAAAATAGGTCCCAGTTTAAAACCATTATGGGTTTGTTCTAAACCTTGAAAAGAAGTTGCAAACAATGGCACAAAAAATAGTAAATTCTTATGCTCAAGGATACAAAATAAACCGTCAATAAATATAGTTAAGAACAGATCCAACTTAAGAGTTTAGCAGTTCTATTTCATGCATATTACATTTCCAGTGATTACCGGCCCATGCCAGCGTTAGATCGGTATGATGCGGAGGACTTGGATGAAGAGGACTATGACCCCATGTCAATACAAGACCGTGTAGCTGCTGAACAAGAATTGAGGAGGAGGGACAGGGAAGAGGGTCGCAACCGAAGAGATGATCGCGACTTGTTGTATGGTAAGAGATATTCTATCTTATTTGAGCGCTTGATAGAGTTTCTAGTAACCTGGGGTGTTAAAATTAAACTACTTTTGGAGGGAAAATCATCAAATGACTTTTCTCGTCCAGGATATGGTGAAAAGTGTCAGACTTACTGACTAAAAACCCCCCATTCCTTTTCCTACTCCAGGATGAGGCGGCAGTAACTTACTGTGCTTGACCTGTGATCCTGGCTAATTGTCAATATCTAAGAGAAAATTTATTGATGGGCCTGACCGTTCTGATTTACTTCCAATTCTTGTAGTTGCTTACAGAACTGGTCAAATGCAAATGTTATGTGAAAGCTCTTATACAAAAATTACTGTCACTTTTCATAATTTTATTAACAATATAACAACCATTTTTATCTAATAAATCATCTGCAGATGAATCAGATGAAGAAAGTACGGGTGCTCCGCGGGCGAAGCGCCGTCGTGCTGCTGAGAAAGCTGCTATGGGTACTGATGAACAAGTGGAAGAGGGAATTGAGAGTATTGAGAACTTGGAGGATACAAAAGGATACACCACCAAGGAGTGGGTCTCTATGCTGGGACCGAGGACTGAAATTGCTAACAGGTACCATAGATAACATTCTGATGCTCATTCTATGACAGCATGGTTGGCGCGGTGACTGGGCAACTGGCTGCCGCGCAACGTGTCGCAGGCGCACGGAATAACTCTTTGTGTGATCCGCTAATTGTTGTTCCGGGTCTGGGTGACTTGTGTATGTGAAATTGTATTTTTGTAAACGCACCCACAACAAAGGAGAAAATGCTAGTGTGGCAACCTTTTTTTTTCAAACTAAAAACAACATACCTATTGCTATGTCATAAGATCAAGTGTGTTTGTTTTATAATGTACTAAGCATAAATTGATGCTTTCGTAATTCTCGCTGTTGAGAGTTTGTGCTACTTATTTCACTTAAAATATTGATTCAAAGCAAGGAAACAGTTTCGAAGTTTATTTTTCTTTGTTTTTTTTTTGTATTTCATATGGATTCCCGCTACACCCGATAAAAATCCAAGTCTAGAGGTGTTTTGGCACAGAAGAAATTTGTATTTCATTTGTATGGGTCAATTTTTCTTTTTTTCTAATAACTGCCTCCACTTTAACAGGTTCAAGAACTTCCTCCGCACTTACACAAACAGTAAAGGCCAGTTCGTATATAAGGAACGTATCCGTCGCATGTGTGAACACAATCAGGCGTCTTTCCATGTAGAGTTCGATGTACTGGCTCGACGAGAACAAGTGTTGGCCTACTTCTTACCTGAAGCTCCATTCCAGATGTTACAGATTTTCGATGAGGTAGGTTTGTGAAGGGATTTTTATTTTGAAATTAGCAGAAGGTTCATATGATGGGAAGCAATAATCGCCGCCCGTATACGCGTATAAGGGTGCAGTTCCATTGAGGCGAAGCGGAGCGGAGAAGAGCTGCGCCGCGATTCACCAATCACATGGCTTGAAATCCACATCTCTTCTCCGTGTGACATGTGTGTGTCCAAGCCATATGATTAATGAATCGCGGCACAGCTCTTCTCCTCTCCGCCTCAATAGAACTGCACTCTAACGCCAAAGGATTACAATTACGTTGCCGACGCTCGTTTTTAGTGGATGGGGAAACTTTCAATAACCAAATTTCAATTTCAATAACTTTTACCGCGAAACACATCGATGTTTTTCGTAAAACTGACTTTCCTTTTCGTGCCGAAAGCAGCTTCATAAGGCAGGGCATTCTCCAGGGAATATCGTGTTCTAAAAAAAATACTTCTTTCGTGCATTTCAAAAGAGGTAAAGTTTCATGTTTCAACATAAACTGTTTTTCTCTTCAATTAGTCAAACATATACATTATCTGTTACAGGTAGCAAAAGACATAGTGCTACAAATATTTCCGAGCTACGAGCGAGTCACTTCAGAGATCCACGTACGCATCTCAGACCTTCCACTCATAGAAGAACTTAGAACATTCCGGAAGCTTCATTTGAATCAGCTGGTCAGAACAGTGGGAGTAATAACTGCGACTACAGGAGTCCTACCTCAATTGTCTGTAGTAAAATACGACTGTAATAGGTGTGGGTATATTCTGGGCCCATTTGTACAGACTCAAAATTCTGAAGTCAGGCCCGGATCTTGTCCGGAGTGTCAAAGCGCTGGACCTTTTATGGTAAGTTCTTTTTTCATCTTTGTTTCATGAACTGTGTAAGTTGTGAAATTGCAAGCGACTTTTCTAAGACCTTTGGGGGACAACATGTAGACCACGCTAGCTGAGGATTTACCCTCAAACATGATCTGTCCGCAGACAGTTAGTTTTTGTTTCTCCTCAAATAATATCTTCTGATTTATTTCGTTGCGGGATACAAGACAGTCATTCATGTCCCTGGGACGCGTCGGGCTTCATTGTTCCGGTGTTTTCATGGTTGTATCTACTGTATATCCTGGCGTACAGGAGTTGCAGCGGTTTTGGGAGGCAGCGGCAGGCAGGCTTGTCCCATTAAAAAAAAATCAATGACTTAAATAACAAAAAACATCAGCTATAATAGCTAACAGGAGCAATAAAGTTGTGTCTAAAACTGCTAAGCTATGATGGTTGTCATGCAATGTCATGATGTGAAACCCACTGTTTTATTGCACCTTTGACTTCAGGGAGTCGTCATCCCTGCAGCGATATGATCACCCTAACCGTTAGCTACTAATAATAATAAAAAAGAATGCATCTCATCATAATATCTAATCCACATTTCTATTCTCCACAGGTGAACATGGAACAAACAGTGTACCGCAATTACCAGAAGGTCACAATTCAAGAGTCACCCGGCCGTATCCCCGCCGGTCGTATCCCAAGAAGCAAGGACTGTATACTATTGGCAGATCTCTGTGATAGGTGCAAACCTGGTGATGAAGTGGATCTCACTGGAATCTACACTAATAATTATGATGGTTCCCTTAATACTGAACAGGTGAGATCTTTTTGTTCTGCTGAAGTTTCACAATGGGTGTGCAAACTAAAAGATAAAAGTTGTAACAAGCTTTAAGCGACTATAAAAGTCTGGTCGACTTTTATAATCATCAGAAAGCTAATAACATAGAAGTTTGTTAAAAAAAATATATGTATGTTTTTACTCTTACACACAAAAACTATAAACCATTCTTAGCATGGGAATAGATATTTTTTTATGGTATAGGTCGGCAAACGAGCAAACGGATAACCTGATGGTAAGCAATCATGGACACCCGCCACACCAAAGGACTTACTAGTGCGTTGCCGACCTTTTGGGCATTAGGGATTTAGAGATTTAGGAATTAGGGGGGGGGGGGGGGAGGATTGGGCCTCTGGTAACCTCACTTTCACGCACACAGCAAACACAACGCTGTGGTTGTTCATGGTATCACTCCGGTCGAGCCGAACCATTCGTGCCGAAGCATAGCCAAAAAAATTGTGGGCAAGTACTCCCACACATCCTTGTACCATGAGAGATGCTCAAAGTTTGTTAGAAATAAACAGCAACATCTCACTTCAATTTCAGGGCTTCCCAGTATTCGCAACAGTGATCATAGCCAACTACATTGTAGTAAAAGACTGCAAGCACATCGTGGAATCTCTAACGGACGAGGATGTGGCCAATATTGTCAAGTTGTCCAAGGATCCGCGCATTGGAGAGAGAATTGTGCAAAGTATTGCTCCGTCAATATACGGACATGATTATATTAAGAGGGGGCTTGCTCTAGCGCTTTTTGGAGGAGAACCGAAGAATCCAGGTATGTGGATAATATTCGCATTTTTTATTATTCATATTTGTGTAAATTTTAGTATTGTGCTGGCCCGACGGTTAAGCCGCCCGCTGCTCTAATTTCTGTAAATTATAAAGACACCTGATAAACGGTGAAAGAAATAAACATAGACTTAAAATTTCTAATTATTAGTTTGAAATCGCCAATCTGCCTTTAGCAAGCGTGTAATTAAGGTGATCTGTGTGTTTTTTAATTTGAGTTCATGAGCTTCGTTGGTTGTAGGAGTTTCAGGAGAGACGAATTTCGTCTTGGATTCAACCTCCAAAGTATTTTTTTACGCGATTTCAGAGTCTGTTAATTCAGTGAACACACTAACAAAATAATTGATGTGTTACATAAAGTCGTAGTAGAAAAATATATTTCAGTTAATCTCCATATGGATGCATTTAAATAACAAATTAAAATCATCTATCAGTCTGCCTGTCATTGAAGTTAGGCGTCAGCTGCCTTATTTCTAGTTTAAATAAATAGGTTTCAAAAAAGTATAACTATAATTAAACTTTCTATTTTCAGGTGATAAGCACAAAGTCAGAGGAGATATCAATGTCCTTATATGTGGTGACCCGGGTACTGCCAAATCGCAATTCTTGAAGTACACAGAAAAGGTAAATTCTTTCACTTCCATTTTAAAGTAAAATTAGTTTTAATGCAATTGAAATAAGGTTGTTAATAAAATGTTTATCTTATTCTTGTAGATTGCACCAAGAGCAATTTTCACGACGGGCCAGGGTGCCAGTGCAGTCGGTCTTACGGCTTATGTAAGGAAGAATCCTACTACCAGGTAAACTATTTTTTCATTTCTGTTACATATAATAAGGTGCAACTTTCATGTTGCCAATACACTGAAAATTCTTATTGTAATCGAATACGTCGTTTGTGGGCCGACGCAAACAGTATTCCATTATTTTTAAATTGAAAGTATTTTTATTAGTTTATTTTGTTTTATTTTTTATTCCGGTTTCTTTTCTATTACTATGTTAATTTATAAATTTAGGGTATGTCCTGGGTTGTCTCGGAACTTGTTTTATTTCCGAGGCAAGAACACGATCGTCAGAGCTTAACACTGGCGCTGTTTGTCTTCTGCCTGCGTGCGCGAGGCACAGCATTTATGCTGAGCGCTGTCCCTTTCCCACAAGGACACGCAATTGTTTAGATGTTTACTTTGTGCCTATTTTTTTTTTTTTTTGTTCTTGTTTTTGCGTTATTTGTGTGTTAATTCTTTCTTTCTTTTCTCTCTTACTTAATATTTCTAATGAAATCTTTTCCTGGAACAGAGATTGGACATTAGAAGCCGGTGCGTTAGTACTAGCAGATCGTGGAGTGTGCCTTATCGATGAGTTTGACAAAATGAACGACGCGGACCGCACCTCCATACACGAGGCCATGGAACAACAGTCTATATCCATCTCCAAAGCTGGTATCGTGACGTCACTGCATGCTAGGTGAGTATTGAAACTTAGCGCAAACTTGCATTTTGGCAATAAAAATCTCTAAATCTAGTTTTCGTAAAATATAATAATCGTATTACTTCTTATTTAAAAAAAGTAGGAAATCATAAATGAGATTGGCAAAATGAATTGTGCAGACGGTACTTTTATACAAGAGGCTTAGGACATCGCGGTTGCCATGACTGTACTGTGTGCTAGGAAATTTACACGTGTATTGTTCTTACTTGCGCAAATTTGCGCATTCAGAGATTTGCGCTAGTGAAACAATTAAACTTTTGTTGCCGTTTGACGACTTAAAGCATATTTAACTTTAAATCTCACTTTATGATATTAAAACTCGAATAGGGCGCGACATATTGGTAAGCAATTAGCGCAATCCATGGACACGCCCAAAACTAAAGGAGTTACGAGTCTGTAGTCGGCCTTTTGGGAGGTTTCAGAGATTCAAGAATAGATGGAGGGGAAGGATTTTATCTCCGGTAAACTAAGTCACACGGCGTAATACAATGCTGTGGCTGTTTCACGCCGGTTTTATGTGAGGCCGTGGTACTACTCCAGCCAAGCCAACCCATTCGCGCCGAAGCATGGCTCTCCCACAATATAGAGCTTATCCCCAACTTTCTCATGCAGAAAATTTCTAAGTTCTTAGTTGATAATATAATACGGTAGTTTCGAACTAGTCAAATTCAATACCTACTTTTATCCAAACATCAAAAACGATACTTTTCTATGGAATCTGTATGAAAAACTGAGCTACGACATCATAACATTTTTGCGTCAAATAGCTTACTTTTTTCTTAATAATAAGCTTTAAAAAATCTAAAATATACCTAGTGTATAGTTCGATCGATGATTAAAAGTACAGTTATTTTTCAATATTTTATTGTATTGAATCGTCGAATTATTTATTTTTGACCTAGGAAACTACCCAATTATGTTATCGTTCTATCAATAACAGATTCTTTTTCTCCACAGATGTTCAATAATAGCCGCGTCCAATCCCATAGGCGGTCGTTACGACGCCTCGCTAACATTCTCTGAGAATGTCAACTTGTCTGAACCGATTCTCTCTCGTTTTGACGTCCTCTGTGTAGTTAGAGACGAAGCAGATCCTATGCAAGACGCTCATCTAGCTAAGTAAGTGTATTTTGTTATATTTTTATAAGGAAGTAGATTAAGAGCCTATTTTCTATTCTGAATAACCGAGATGAACCAAATAAGTTTGAATCAGTATAAAGCTTACATATTTTGAATGAAGTGTCATTAATTTTAAGCGGGTATGGGAATTAAGATGACTAAGTGTTGTGCTTAGTTTAATCTTGATTTATTATCTTTAAGGCTATGGTTAATGAGACTTTAGCTTTTGACTTAAAAGGGTTCTGATTAGTTTTATGATATTAATCAAGTGGATTCCATTCCCTTTGGCTTCAACTCCAAAAGTCCAAAATTAAATTCCGAATAAAATTAATCAGACCCCTTTTTGGGTACACTTTGAATATTGCATGATTTAATTGTCGAGAACTTAAGACTTTTGATTGAAGAGTGGACGTCTACCGGCTGGTAATGACGATAATAATGGTTACTGTAATTTTCTCATACATAATATTCTCAATCCATAATTTCCTTTTAGATTCGTAGTATCCTCCCACATCCGCCACCACCCTACACAGCGCGGCACTGCCCTTGAAGACAGCAACACTCCCGACCCTGAGTTCGTACTGCAGCAGGATCTGCTCAAGAAGTACATTGTCTATGCCAGGGAGAATGTTCATCCTAAACTACAGGTAATATTGAAATCAAGATCATTTTAAACTAGTTTAAACATTAAAATTAGTATTTTAAATGTTAAGAGTACTAAAGCTTATGTACAGGTTGGCGATTGAGCTAACGGATTACCTGATGGTAAGCAATCAGCGCCGCCCATGGACACCAGCAACAGCAAGTGCGTTATGGCCCTATTGGGGATAAGGGTTTTGGATATTTAAGGATTGGGCAGGGATGGGGGATTGGCTTTTCAGTAACCTCACTCACGGGGAAACATAACGCTGTGGTTTTCTGTGAGGCCTTTGTCTCTCTCCATTCGAGCCGACCCATTTGTGCCGAAGCTTAGGCAAACGCAACAAGGCCTCAGCCGGGAGCAAAAAAAGAAACGGGAGAGTTTTTAGTCAGTAAGAGTCTGACACACCCTCTCGCCTCACCCTGGTCCAGAGTCATTTGATAATGACACATGATTTTCTCAACAAAAAAATCTAAATACTTAATCTTCATTTATTTTCTTTATTAGAACATGGATCAAGACAAAGTGGCGAAGATGTACAGTCAACTGCGACAAGAATCTTTGGCTACGGGCAGCTTGCCGATCACAGTCCGACATATCGAATCTGGTAAGTAGAATTCTTTACAAAAAGCTTATACCCTGAGCAAGTACGATACTTTTACGAAACGTTAATTTTATAGGTATAAGATGTGACATCTGTTTGCGTCAATTTTCTGTCATAAACTGGCTAGAAAAAATAAATTGTTTTTAAACTACAGTACACTATCTTGGTCTTAAGTGCATTTATTACCTATTAAAAGAATGATATTTAATACTTCATCCCTTTGTCTTGCACACCACAATCAGACCTGGACGATCTATTTATAGATAAGACGACGGCTAGCTGCGTGCTGAAATTGAACTTACGACAAATAACTCAGCCACTCATTACTTACAATATTTTTATTGTATGTAACCCTTTTACATAACATCATAAACAGTAGCAACGGCCGAGCCATGCCATATGCCTCTTCTCACACGATCAAGACGATCGGCGATTTTTAACTTACTCTAACTAAGTCCAGGTTTCCACATGGTGATTTTCTTTACCATATGTCAGTGCCAAGTGACCAAATTATTTTAATCTGAGATAGTACAATTACTCGAAAAAAGCTCATTGATACTTACCTTGTTTCACCGTAACGTCGTAACCAAGACATTAAGTTCATGTTGTTGTGCATTTGACTACACGGTTGGTGCCGTGGCTGGGCAACTGGCTGCCGTGCAACGTGTCGCGGATTCAATTCCCGCACTTTGTGTGATCCACAAATTGTTGTTTCGGGTCTGGGTGTCATGTGTATATGACAATGTATGTTTGTAAACGCACTCACAACACAGGAGAAAATCCTAAAGTGAGGCAACGTCTTTCTTAGAAAAAAAATATGTAGGTACTCGATTTTTAATAATATCTATCTATTTAGTGATCCGTATGAGCGAGGCTCACGCCCGAATGCACTTACGTCCGCAAGTATCAGAAGAAGACGTCAACATGGCCATACGTACCATGCTGGAGAGCTTCGTCGAGACACAGAAATACAGCGTCATGAGGGCTATGAGACAGGTAATTGTTATTATTTTTTATTATATTATTGCTGTTACTTAATTAGTCAAGAGCTCAAAAGCAGTGGATTGAAAATTTACAAAACTGTCAAAATTTTGTAATTGTGTAAACTACTAGTACTGATTAAGTAGTAGTTTACACAATATTGTTTGTGTTATGACTATCGTGAGATACACTAAATTAATTAAAAATAACTACTTATCCGCGTAAACTAAGAAAAGCGCTACTATTATTATCCATGTCCATAGTGAGCATCACGGAAACGTCGTAACTTGAAACTAGTAGAGCTTTCTAACCCGTCTATCAACAAGACGATCAGGTTCTTTTCATCAATGAAAAGTTAGAAAACTGTAACTTAAATTCAATACATGTTTTAAACCACATTCACAACGATATTTCTAATCAACCCCTTTAATTACAGACATTCCAAAAATACTTATCATACAAGAAGGATCACAGCGAGCTCCTCTATTACATTCTACGTCAACTAACAATGGACCAATTGGCCTACATGAGAGGCTTGCACAATCATTCCCAATCTACTATTGAAATATCAGAGAGGGACCTTCTAGAACGAGCCCGGCAGATCAACATCAGTGATTTGAAACCATTCTATGACAGCAGGATCTTCAAAATGAACAGTTTCACTTATGATGCGAAGAGGAAGGTTATAGTACATGTCTTGCCCGATACGCCGTCTAGTGCAGCTTCATAAGTTTTGTTTTTAAGGTACCTAACTAAGTTGTCATCCTTTCGTATGCCGATCTACGAGTAATGTGAATGATTTGATTATTAACTTCACACAATTTGTTACGTGATTGACGGATTCGTGTGATTTATCTAAAAGTAAATAACAAAAATGGTTCGGTAATGTAATGATATTTCTCTTCGTAATGGATGCCTCTGACCTATTCGTTTGTTGTGGCGCACGCGCATATAGGCAAAGTTTATGTTTAGCAGTGAAACATTACAATGATGATGACGGCCAGAGGCGATTAAAACTTGGAGAATGCCCCAGGCAATGCAACTCATAGGCATCCGCGCTCCTCCATAACCCTTGTCTTACGGACAATATGGCCCTGATGACGACATACGAAAGGTCCAATAAAATTTATTAAGATACTATGAAAATATTATCTGTAATAACTTAATAATAATATGAATCATTATACGAATTTGTGTGATACTCTGAGGATGGGTACTTTATTCGAACTACGAATCTCAGGTATTTTGTACGAAATAATAATACATTATTTTTTTATCAGTTGAAAAATATACGTAGTACTATGTCTATGTAAATTCTTTGTTTGAGAAGTCCGAGCGGCTAACAGTTAAATGTTTTTCTAAAATGTATAGTAATACGCAGCTACAATCACGAAACACGAAAGTAAATAGAAATAAAAATTCATATATCTAATTATTATAAAGTATAACCTGACACCACCATTCCACAGAGCATCACATACACAATAATCACCCACCCACCTTTAAAATATCTACAATAAAAGCTTTAAACTTTAATACAATCATTATCGTTACTTATTAATGTTACGTAGGTAGTTAGTTTTAAGTTTTTATCTCTTAACTTTTCCTATTATGTTTGTCTTCATTATTTGTTCTATGATTATTACGAATTCGTCGTATCGACGAACGCCAGTTATAATTTTGTATAATATATCTTCAAAATTTAAGAAGGTCATTTAATTTTAAATCTAAAAGTAGGTAGTGCTACAAAGTTAATCTCGAACTCAGTTATCGAAACTCCCAAATTCTAGTAAAAAGGCGTGTAAAATTACTTATTAAAGCAAGTAAAATCCTCGAAAGTCAAAAAATAAAATTTTCATCTACCCGCGTCTAAAAAAATTGCATGTATCAAGTTACGTGCCTCATATGCCGTCTCAAATATAATACACGATCGAACGTCTTTGAAATAGAAACGGCAACCCTTGTAAACTAGGTCATCTAAACTAGTACAATATTCATCTAGACCTGACTATCTCTTAACTGTATTATGTCGGAAGAGAAACCATATTGATGATATTTTATAGAACGATAGAAAAAGGAGGTTGGACTACCTACTCATGTCTATTTAGAAATACAGTATACCTTTTCAAAGATTATGATTTATTCATAAAATTGTAGTATTTCTTGCTAAGTATACCTACATCTTGTTTTTTTGTGATTTATGTAAGTACCTACCTACATCAAGTAAATACATAGTTTTCTTTTCTTAGTTAAATAATATGTATGGAATCGATTTATTTTTGGATAACTTTAATTCTGCGATAAATTATGTGAATATCTTTAGACATAAGTGCCTTTTGTTAGTACAAACCTTAAATTTGGACATAAGTAAATTAGGTAATAAGTTGTTTTGTAATGTTTTTTGATAAATCAATGTTTTCGATTTGTAATTTTGAAATACAGTTATTGGTAACTAGTTTTGATTTTTATTTTCCAACTGATAATTAATTTGGCATGGAATAATAGAAAAATTGTTTTTATAATAACTATCGTGAGACATACTAAATTAACTAAAAAACGCGGGTTACTCACGTGTGTATATTGAGAAAAGCTCTACTTCGCCGCGTCAGCGCACGCTGCTCATGAGGAAGAACCCCTCTGTGGTTCGAAACTAGTAGAGCTTTTCTCAATATACACACGTGAGTAACCTGCGTTTTTTAGTTAATTTAATAGAAAAATTGCTCAACTCCTGGATGGCAGAAATAATTGGATTTCTATTTTTGTCCTACCTGTTTCTATGACATACAGGGCAGCAAACGAACAGACTTCCTTCATCATCTAATCCTTTTTGATATACCTACGGGCCCCACAAAAGGCCGTCAGCGCGCCTGTAGGGATTTTGATCTTGCAGGTGTCCATAGGCGGGGATAATCCTTACCATCAGTTGTTCGTAAATATGTAGTTAACAATACTGTAGTTTCCAACTAGTCAAATTCAATACTTTTATCCAAATGTCAAAACCGATACTTTTCTATGAAAGTTTGAAAAATTGAGTTATGACGTCATAGTTTTTTTTGCGTCAAATAGCTTACTTATTTCTTAATAATTAGCTAAAAAATATCTAAAACTTAGTGTATCGATCGATCGATGAATAAAAGTATAGTTATTTTTCAATATTTTATTGTATTGAAACGTCGAATTAATTTAGATTTGGCCTAGGAAACTACCCAATTATCTCTAATTGGACGCGGGCCACTGATATAGGTCCGGCGGGCTGCAGGTATGGCTGATCTAATGGTTATTGGTTAGCAATCGGAAACATTAGTCAAATGCATGGCTGGGCATTTGGGACTGGGTGAGAACTGCCTCTGGTAATCTCTTTTAGCCGGCGCCACGCACAACACTGATTCTTCCACGCCGATTTTTATGAACTTATAGACAATTCTAAATCAAATAACGTTACCCTCATCTCGGCAGGCTAGCAGTTGCGCTTTCTAAAACCGCTATAATGGATTAGTAAGTTAAAGAATGCATACTACCCTTTATTTTAAAATAGTAATAAAGAGAGAAGAGATGGAGATAAAGAGAGAAGAATAAAATAACAGGTATTTTCAATAAAAGACTTATTTAATCCCATTTAAATTATATTTCGTTTTATATCAAAATTCTTACATTCTTTCTATTTTAAATCATGAGACTATGTAATTGAAGAGACATTTTACTATACAGTCTTAGAAAATATTACGTTTATGACATGTATATAATGTAATTGATAATTTAATTTCTATGCTATTTTAAATTAACACAGCAGTTTCACAAAGCATAAAAATAACGAAATCTCCACTAACAGCACTGACTTCAACAAATAATAGTTTAAAACCATAGAGTATTCTTAAACTTTGGCTTCAAGTGTTTTAATAATGTAGTTAGTGGAAATTAAGCCCTACATTAATATTTATCAAATTTCTACAAATACATCTCAATAATTCATACATTCTCACATAAAATGACTTTTAGCATTTTATAAGAATCAATTTAGACTACAAACATTCAACAAGTTCACAGCATTATAACTAGGAAGAATGGCGCCAAACCCATTTAGCTCCTTTACTAACATCAAGTTTTTTTAATTTCTATTTTATTCAAAAACTACGAAATCTATTTTTAATCAGCTGTCGATTATAATTATATAAAAGGCTGAATGAGATAAGTGCCACTACTCACAAAAATAAAAAAATACAATATAAACTTTGTCTGCAGGTTAAAATTATCATAAAGTGTCATTTATAATTAAGTCCTTATTTTTAATGTCCGGCATTAAATTACAAGCCAACCTGATGATAGTTCAGCCTACATACAATCCATATCTATTCCATAAAATAAAGGCTGGTATTAGCAATGTACTTATAAAATCCGATTACAAAACCACTCTCTTCTGAGACTGACCAAAAAATATATCTACTGAAATAGTCAAATATGAATGTCACTAGAAAATGCAATATTTTAACTTAATACTAACTAACTACATGTCAAAGTTATACATGTCGCTGTGCAATTTTTATAGGGACAATAAATTGCTAATACCAGCACTGTTACAGACTTTTGAGTACCCGTTTAACCATCAGAACCAGACTCGGAGCCGCTGCTGCTCTCACTGTCACTCTCGGAGTCGCTGCTGCTGCCACTCTCAGAATCATCCGAGCTATCAGACTCTGAACCAGAGGAGCTTCCAGATGAACTGTTGTCTGAGCAGTCAGCGCAGTCATTTGTACGTTTCTTTTTGTTGGGTATCTTGCAACTGCCATTGCTACAATGATATTCACAATTGAAATTAAATATGCACTGAAAAACATTATAAATCTACCCACACTATTGAAAAATTTTATGAAATTGGTAATGATTTATGGTAAGTAGTTTGAACTGAACAGAAAGAATACTGAAAAAAAGATTTTTCGAAATAACTTCTCAAAAAAAAGCATGTATAAATTCAAATATAACATCGAAATACCAAAACGACCATGATCAGGAAACTAAACAAACCTTGGAGGGTATAACATGAAACATATTGTTCTAGAAAAATTTCCTGCGAAAGTATAAAAGTAATCGGACATACCTGCAGGAGCCTTGTTCTTGTGATTTCAGATTCTTCTTGAAGACCTGCGTGCGCGAAGGACGCACCAAGATCTTGCGTTTGCCTGTGCATTCATAGCTCCAATGGCCATATTCCAGACATTTCTGACAACGTATCCCTTGAGGAAACGCCGCTGCCAAGGCAGCTTGCCTGAAAAAACCATCAATATTAATAACAAGCAAAAACTAGATATTAAGAAAACAAAACGGAGGGAAGAAATTACTTTTTTTTATTGGCCTGATGTCTATTGTAAGTGCCTAAAGTCATGGCGATGTTTAAGTTAACAGCTCAACAAGTAAAATGTAGGTAGATTAATATCACTTCTTCACAAACAGTTTGGTGACTATCACTCGCTATTACTTCCAAAACACGAATGAATTATTAGAAAATCATAATTCACATAAAAAGGAAGTAAAAATGCATGGAAAATAAAAGATTTGTCAACTTGTCGTTGTCAAACAATACAGATTAAAAAAGAGTTATTTTTTGTCTATGGTTTGATTCCAAAACCTAATTGGGAGTGTCTTTTTTTACAAAAAGTGATTATGAGTACATAGTATAACCAAACTACGGTATTATTAGTTCTATATAATGTCTTGGCAAAAGAAAACAATAGATTTCTCACTGCTCTTTAATGCTATCTCTTTATGATTGTGTTACACTTAAATCAAATTCAATTCCACTTAAGATCTATTAATTTAAATAAGCTGCCCAGTTATGAAATTCTAACTTGGGACAACCTTGGAACCCATTAACCTTGCGAAAATAAAGAAGACTGTCCTATTGGCGTACTGGCGTCTGACTTGTAGGCAGCAGCTTAAGGTGTATTGGAAAGTAAAGTGTGTATCTATGTACCCGTGCTTAATTTTTAGGAATTCGAAATTTCAACTCATTCTATTACCTTGATAGGGAAAATGGGATAGAAGTATTTAACTGGTGCAACTACAAATTTTAATGTGATTTAAATTGTTGGAACTTCAACGGTCCTTGTTCGCAAAATGATAGGAACACTTTTACGCCCTTCTGCTGAACTCAACATCATCATACTATTCGATTCATTTCTAAATATTTGGGTTAAAAAGGTTACTTACATAGAAAGTTAAAGTAGCCTTTAACTTTCTATGTAAGTAGTGTTCGACAGAGATCTATTATACCTTTTTTTAAATCACATTAAAATTTGTAGTTGCACCAGTTAAATACTTCTATCCCATTTTCGTCTCTAGTGGGGATAGGTGACGATCCATATAATACAACATTATGGTGTGTAGTTGTCTTCACATTATATTAATTTGGACGCTGGGTGCAAACAGAGAAGGCTAAAGTCCCATCAGTTGTCCCGCACCAATTGTTGGTACTTCTTATTGAACTCGACAGCTATTCGAGCATTACAGATGGATTTTAATACGTGTTATGACGAGTTTGTAAGTCGGTTAAAGTAAAATATATTATTTACTAACATCTCCTTTTGAGTAGATATTTATCCGGATAAAATCCCAATACGATGTTGAACTAACGGGAAATTCTTTTAAACAATCATGAAACCTTAATTTACTCTAAGGTTGAAACAAGTTTTTGAGTGAATCACTAACTGGAATGTTTAATAACAAAAAGAAACAGTAAACTAATAACAAAACGTAATCTGTCAGACAGAATTGACAGAAATTACGTGGAGAATGTGTGCAGTCTGTGGTAAAAAGTTTTTCAGTCAGTTGCGCATAGCAAGCAATTTATTTTAGTATTTCATAATAAAAATAAATTACCGGCTTACAGGTTTGAAATGTCCAAAAATAATTCACGTGTAAAACAATGTCGGACTGGTATTGGCGGGTAATTGCTTTGAAGGCAGCATTTGCGTTAACTTTTATTTTTTGTAATGTACGTGCCGAGGATACTGTGCAAAAGTTACCGTACTGCAATCCTACTATAGAAAAGGACGATACAACTCTAAACGAGTGAGTTTATCATGGTATTTATAACATAGTGTTTACATGTTTTGCATCTAAAAAAATAGAATGGCTATAGTAAAACTTACATGAATAATATTGACTGGAAAAAGTTTGTTTACAAAACATTTGCAGTCTTACAAGTGCTATTGATAATAAAAACAAGTTTTTCATGAAGCGTAATGTGTTCCATATATAATGACATACACGAAACTAACATTTATTAGTGTTTTTAAACCACTTTTACAGTTTCTCATGAACTTTCTTGAACATGTCAGAACATGATTGGGTTTCTTTTTTTTTATTTAAAAAGGCAAGGCATCTGTATGTTTTAAGTCTACATTGCTTAAAAAGAAATAGATTATCGATTTTTTCGTGAAAAGAAATGTAAACATTCTAATGAAAACAATGTAAATCCATTTACTTTTTAACCTTGATATCTTATCTCAGTTACTTACCAAATAACATATCTATGTAATTGTGACGTTTTTTAATTATGTTTACGTTTGATTTTATAATATTCTCTATACAAATTACTTACTGCATATTTATAACATATTATTCCAACAAATGATATAAACTAAATTATTATACCAGCCAGTGTCTCCCGCTACTTGGCAGCCATTGGTTGTAATGTGTTGATATAATTATAACCTAATAATACTTTACTATGATTAATACTGTTGTTCTACCTATATTAATTTAATTAGTTCTAGTTTTAATTTCTATATATTTTGACTGTATAAACACATAATTTTAGAATGTTGGTTAGCTTGTAACTGACTAATGAATATGACATACTGCCTATAACCAATACTTTAAATCATTTTGTATACTTAAGGTGTGAGCCTACCTTATGATATTTAAATAAATAAATAAGCCTAAAACATACACCATAAAATCTTGTTTCCAATTTAAGCCAGTAGTTCTTGAGATTGAAACCAAAAGATTCTTGGGCTTGATAAACTAAAATTGTTTGTCACTTATTAGACTCTGTAATAGCCAGTCAATCTTCTTGTTATTTTACGCACATATTGTTCGAAGTAAACAGAAAGACATATAATTGATCTGCTAGGGTAACTTGGTATAACAATTTTGTAATACACATGTATATAAATGGTTATATAATATTGTTTTTGTTACTTGTACAGTTACAATTAGCATAACAATACAAATACACACAATAATAGTTTTTAAGTAAACATAGCAGGCACTTCTGACTAGACTGACTGTCAATACCGGTAGTCAATAACATTGAATTTAAGATTAATTGTTTGCCTACCAAGAAAAAAATGCACTAATATTTGACCAAAATTATTAATCTATACTCAACAGTGACCTTAATAATTATTTATATATTATTGTTTTTATTGATAATTATTAATAGATTCATACTGAAATAAGTTCTTTTTCCTTGTAGCCTGGTGATTGTAAGTACTCTTGATGGAAGATTGACAGCATTCTCCACTGAAAATGGCATAAAGGCATGGGATCTTGAAACACAACCATTGTTATCTTCCAATTTACACCATGTTGAGGTAATTGTATTATAATTTAAATCTAATTTTATTGATATTGTGGTCAACTGATTTTCATAAAACATAGCATTGTTATTATCAAACCTTTCTTTTTCAAAGGGTAAGCAAAGCTTTTTATTGCAAAGTAGGTACCAATCACTTTAAATGTTTATTGTTTAAGCACACCACACATACATACGTACTTAATAGAAAAACATATACAGAAACAGGTACATAGGTACTGTATATTACTATTTGGAGTCTCTTCCTGCAGTTTTTCAAAAGGAAAAATGAAAACTGTAAATGTAACTTAAAAAAAAAACAGGAGAAAGTTAAAGAGCAACATACTCAGTAATACACTAGACCTACACAAATTAAATAACAATTTTCTTATCAATAACAAAATACTTAACAAAAAGAGCTGATGATTTGACATTAACTAAATCCCTATTGGACAAAAAGATGAGTAGTCTATTTGGTGTTGAGGGCGCGCCCTAGTAGCCCTAGTCTAGGCCATGGTGCCACAAGTACATCAGTAATATTCATATTTTTTAAGCAATTTGCGTGAAACAAATATGGTATTTGATGCTAAAAAGTTGTTGTTACAATGCATATAAAATTCATTAAAAACATCAATCAATAGTTTTGACTGCACGGTTGGTGCGGTGGTGGTGCGACATGTTGCGGGTTCAATTCCCGCAAGGAACAACTCTTTGTGTGATCCACAAATTGTTGTTTCGGCTCTGAGTGTCATGTGCATGTGAAATTGTATGTTTGTAACCGCACCCACGACACAGGAGAAAACCCTACAACGGGCAACGTTTTTTTTTAAAATAGAAAAATAATTTGGTTTTATAAAATATAAATAAGTTAATGGTCCAAAATGTTCTGTAATTCCCTCTGCATATTCCTTCAGGATTATTTTTACTGCCACATAAATGTATTTCAGCTTTAATTAGCAATACAAATTATCCAGTAAATACGTAAATAATCAAGGATTATTCTAACCTATTTTATATGTGCCATTGTTTTTGTTTCACTAAATTAACATTTCTCTAAGGTCAATAGTATTTATTTTTAAATTATTACTTAATTTAGCTCTAAAATTACGCATATAAGCTTTTGGCTCCAGCCATGAGAATGTATATATCTTTTTGCCACCGTTTTTGCTTACCAATATAAGGTAAATAATTTGTAAGATTTTTTTCTATTTTTCTTTTAATTATTATATTTTTCCTATTGTCAAACACACAATTGTAGACAGTTACAGTGTGTGTGTACTCTTTAAAAAAGGGCAGAAAAAAGATCTACATATGCATTCAGTTCATTGACCTTATTGTGTCCATTCCCAGCTCACATCAGGAGGCAAATGGGTCCGTCTAGTGCCCTCGCTTAGCGGGTCACTATACAGTGTCAGTGGGGACAACATCGAACCCCTGCCCTTCGACGCTGAACAACTCCTGTCTTCATCATTCAAGTACTCCGAAGACTTGGTTATAGCTGGTGAGTCATTTTGTATATTTGAGTCTTTATTTGTATATATGTATCATGTACATTTTGGCGTGTTTCCGTAATTATCACTAAGTAGCTTTTACCAGCGGTTTCGCACCCGTCATTTCAGTACCTACCTAGTTACCTACCTATACTACCCAGTCTACACTATCTCCCCTATTCTACCTACCATACCCTACCGTACCTACACTGCCCTATCCTATATTCTTCTACTGGTTCTTAACTACATCCCCACAAATTCTCAACCAAGTTTAGCCTCAGCCGGGGTTGCGGGGTAAGCGCAATGAGACACCGCGACCTCGGCATAGAGCAGGAGAAGGAACAGGGGGGTTTTTGTCAGTAAGAGTCTGGCACTCCCTCCTGCCCGGCCCTGGGCGGGAGAAGTCATTTGATGATTTTCCTCTCACAAAAAAAAACCAAGTTTAGCCGTTCTTTAGCTATAAATAGTGTAAGACAACACTACTTTATTTTATCTATACATCTATACTAATATTATAAAGAGGTAATATTTGTAAGTTAATGTTTGTAAGTTTGTATGTAATCTTTGGAACCGCTGGACCAAAAGGATTGAAAAAATTCTTTCACTGATAGATAGCTACAATGTTCCTGAGTGCTTTAAGCTATAAAACATCACGCTACGATCAAATGGAGCTGAGCAGCGGGTGAAACCGCGCGAGAGTAGCTAGTCTATACATAAAACTCAATGCCACTTTTCGTTGTAATGTTGTTATAACTCCACAATGCCTTTACTGATTTGGCTAATTTTGGTCTTGAATTATTCGTGGAAGTGCAGGGAAGGTTTAAAAGGGCAGAAAATTTCAGGTAAAAGACTTCGTTTTGGTCGTCATTTGAAAATAACGTTTTCTTTTTGTTCGATGCTCGTTGACGGCCTCTAATGCTCTTTTTAATTGATACGGCACGAAAGACACGGCGGGAGCCACTGCTACTACCTATACTTAACAGACACTGATTGCCACGTGCCTTTGAAAAAACAAACAACAGAATCCAAAATAGTTTTATTTGTACAATTTTATCTCTATTTATAATCCGTATTGTAGGTACACTGCTATCAGTATTGAGTACTATTGAGTCATCAGAGCTCCATAAACATTAGTGTAAAGATTAAGCTTATACAATAGTAACTGTCTGCTAGCATATCTTTTTTTTATTTTTTTTGATGTAATATGTCGGCAAACGAGCAGACGGATTACCTGATGGTAAGCAATCAGCGCCGCCCATGGACACCCGCAACGGAGGAGTTACGAGTGCGTTGCCGACCTTTTAGGGATTACGGATTTGGAGATTTAGGGATTGAAGAGGGATTGGGGAGGGAAAGGATTGGGCCTCCGGTAACCTCACTCATACGGCGAAACACAACGCTGTGGTTGTTTCACGCCGGTTTTCTGTGAGGCTGTGGTATCACTCCGATTGAGCTGACCCATTCGTGCCGAAGCATGGCTCTCCCACACCTAAATCTATCTCAATATCTATACTAATATAACAAAGCTGTAGAGTTTGTTCGTTTGTTTGAACGCGCTAATCTCCGGAACTACTGGTTCGAATTTAACAGTTCTTTTTGTGTTTGTTAGTCCATTTATGGAGGAAGGCTATTATTAGGCTATAAAACATTACGCTACGATATGAACGAGCCAAGCTGCGGATGAAACTGCGGGACAGTAGCTAGTCCCCTGCCTTAAATTTCAAATGTAACCGAGTTCCTTTAAGTGTATACCAATGATCAACAAAATAAACCGAATTCCCTTGCCGCTACGCACTCGTAACTATTCTAGTGTGCTCTAATACACAAAAGAAGGTTGAGAAAGATATCATCTACCTTTTTCTTTAACAACAGGCGAAATCGCGTGTAGTATATGTAGTCTCATGTAGAGGCAACGTAGTGTAACCAATTTTAATAACCTATCATTTTCAACATAACAAGCCCTGCCAAACAAAACTATCTTATTTGTTTATTTAAAAAAAAAGTTGCTAGGAAATCCCCTATGGAGTATAGAGATCTAAGTAACCTTTATATAAAGGACTTCAAGGATCAAACGATTATGACCAATTACTTATAGTTGTAAGGTTGAGAATCGACTAATGTAGCGATAAGTATTCAATTAAGGTGCGACCCTGATTGACCTTGGAAGTCAGCATTGTCGGCAGGGGGCGTACACGACGAATTAAGTGAGGATTTGTATTGTAATCCAATTATCCATGGCCCTCATCATTTACTTAAACCGATCAAGGATTTATTGCTATTTAGTAATAGTCGTTAGTAGTAAGATAGAGACAGAGACGACTTCTTAGAGACTTTAGTCTGTACTCTTCTGCGCGGGTCTGTGGACGGCGAGTAGGGGTAGCTCGCCGCTCGACCTGAACCAGACCTAAACATACGGCGCGTTGCGTCCCGCGCGCGCCTCAAAAGGCCAATAGACAACCACAGACGGGGCCCTATAGGGCTGATGTTCAGCCGGGGTTGCGGGGCAAGCGCAATGAGGCACTGCAGCCTCGGCTTATATCAGGAGAAGGAACTGAAGTTTTAATCAGTCAGTAAGAGTCTGACACTCTCTCTGCGAGTAGGGGAAAAAACTTATTAGACAGAGATTTCTTATAAACCTCAACCATTTTTTTTACGTAGTTAGTCGGCAAATGAGCGGACGACGGATTACCTGATGGTAAGCAATCAGCGCCGCCCATGGACACCCGCAACGGAGGAGTTACGAGTGCGTTGCCGACGTGTTAGGGATTTGGAGATTTAGGGATTGGGGAAGGGTCCGGGGAGGGGAAGGATTGGGCCTCCGATAACCTCACTTACACGGCGAAACACAACGCTGTGATTTTTTCACGCCGGTTTTCTGTGAGGCCGTGGTATCACTCCGGTTGAGCCGACCCATTCCTCCCGAAGCATGGCTCTTCCACACTTATTTATTTAAAAGACAGTCTCCATCTTGCCTGTCAAGCGTAAATAATGAAAATGCCGCCTTGGATGTTTGTTGCCATTACTTCCACGCTTTTTAGTTGCTAGCAGGCAAATAAATATGTAGTCCCTTTTTCTGCTCTTACGACTCATACGCGAGTAGTACCTACTAGGAGGAGCCATGATTGTCACTAACGGCCAGGTTCAAATTCAACAAAAAAAAAAAAGTGTTTTCTTATTCGCGAAGAGTAAGTGAATACGGTAGCCATGATTGTCCACACGAATTCAATCCAAGGATCGTACCTAAGCAGTGAAAGTTTAAATACATTTCTAGCACTTTCTTTGACCTTCTTAAATAGTATGACGAAATAGTGAATTACGGTTTCCTCACTAAAATATCAGTAAAGCCATCGAATAATGACGAATAGCTAAGTTATGAAGTGTTTGCATAACTAAGCGGTTTATAAATAACTTCAGAAGGTCATTGACCTCGAGATGACTAGGATTAGTCATCAACTAATCTCTACGAATGTTACGTGTCTCCCGAACTAAATCGTTTGATGGAATACTGTGATAATTGCCATTTTGATGATAATATGCAGTGATTCTATTTTACTATTGCGAAATTCTTTGTTTCTTTTTTATGTCATTGGATGGCAAACTAGCAAGCGGATTACCTGATTGTAAGCAATCGGCGCCGCCCAAAGATACCCGCAACACAATAGAAGTTGCGTGTGCGTTGCCAATCTTTTGGGGATAAAGGGTTTCAGAGATTTAGCGATTATAAGACGGGCAGAAGGATTGAGCCTCCGGTGACCTCATTCACACGGCGAAACACAACGCTACTATTGTTTCATGTCGAAAAAGCCAGCCCGTGCCATCTCCAGGTCTGACCCGGGCCGCGGTACGTCATTGCGCTTGTACCCATAACCACAGATTATTAAATAGTTACGACGTAATATAACCCCAAATGGACATCGGACCCTTTTGGACCCCATCAGTGGGGATCTGATGGCTCAACGAGGCGCGCCGTACGCTCGGGCGGTGAGCTGAAAATACATACCCATACAGTACATACATATATGTAAACAAACACTATGCTATGGTTAGATAACGTTATAATGTACACACGTAACAGCTGATTACGTGTCGTGACATCTGACCAATCTCGTTCGTCCACGATGCCTACTTCAAAGGCCGTTCTAACTCTATTATTAAGTATGTGGGCGAAGTCAACGGAATGAAAGCGTATATAGAACTACAGTTAGAAGTAGGTATTAATGTTAGTAGTTTCGTTGTGGATGAGTATTTTTAGAATGAGAGTTAAAGTTTTTTTTGTTAGGCTAATTCGTTTTTAGAATGGGCTGTACGCCCTGGTTTTTCGCAATGCTAATAGGTATCGGATTTTCTTTTCGGAAAATCTTTACCTTGACAATCTTCGAACTCGACAAAAATTTCTCCATCATCGGTTGAGACTGGCTCGAATTTCACTGTTGACATTGAGACATTTCGCTACTTTTCCAATTTTCTAATAAATGTTAAGGGTCTTTTGCCTTACTTCCCAGATCGGTATATCTTTCGTAAAAAATATAATTCTAAAAAATTAATTAATCAAAAGGTATGGATGATGCATTTTTCTTTAAATCTTATCGGTACAGCAACCGTTTGTCTTGGAAGTAACTTTTTTGATGACTAACAAAGTTTTTTTCAGGGTTGGATGTAATCTATACTAATATTATAAAGAGGTAAAATTTGTAAGTTTGTATGTAGGGGGTAATCTTTGGAACCGCTGATCGGATTGCCAAAATTCTTTTACTGATGGATAGCTACAATGTTTCTGAGTGCTATAGGCTATAAAATATCACGCTACCATTAAATGGAGCCGAGCAGCGGGTGAAACCTCGCGAGAGTAGCTTGATTGTATATATGTACATAATAGACATTTGGGTTATGGGCGAGATATGAGAAAATCTCGAATCATTAATCGAAAAGCATTTATGGTTCAATTGAGAAAATCCCAGCTGTTAAAAAAAACTGTCATGCGTCTGGCTATCTGCCAAATATTCAGCTTGTACAATAACAACAGTGGTGTGATAGTCTGGCTATGTTTATTTTGATTCTGACTAATGGTCAGTTTTTGAGATGTTTCTGATCTGGAGATTGCAACCAGGAACTCTACAAAGAGATCACAGACATATAGGTGTAAGGGACGAAAAAAAAATTTTGATTTTCCATACAAATTGTCTGGTCGAGGTGATCATTTTGTATGGAAAAGCATTTTTTTTTCTCGTTTCCTGAAAAAAAATCCTAGTGGTAGTTGTTCAGTTTCGTTGACTGAGCAACCCCTATCAGTTTGAGGGACGCTGTCTCTTACACGCAGTATATGTATCAGACTATAATCTCTGTGCCAATTTTCCACCAAAAACCATTCAGGTTTTACGTGAAAGAGTTCCCAAACAAACGCCCTTACTTAAATACTTTCCCGTTAATAATTAGTAGGATAAAATATATAAATCCTTACACATAATTAATATTTAACAAATCCATAGTTATTACCTACCCACCTATATTTAATACCTACTTATATTCAAATAACAGTTGTGCAAAGTATTTAGTGTTTTGTGTTCGTAAATACACAGTTTCTCAATGCGTCACGCTTTGTTTAATAATACCTACCGTGTTTGAGCCCAGATTAATAGTTGCCTATATTATATGTGGTTCTTGCTTTGAGTAAACTGTTTAGAAATATACGTCTATTTTATATGTCTAAATATGTACGATGCTTTTGTATTGATGCATTTATTTACTTTGTTAGCTATAGGTCTTAGTTCCGCTGCGACTTCCTCAAAACTATTGCGATGTTTTTGCAACGTTATCAAGATCAAAAAGCGTGTGAAAGTGTGGGAGCCATGCTTCTGCACGTATGGGTCGGCTCGAGCGGTGTGATACCACATCCTCACAGAAAACCGGCGTGAAACAACCACAGCGTTGTGTTCCGCCGTGTGACTGAGGTTACCGGAGGCCCAATTCTTACTTAGTCCCTAAATTCCTAAAACCATAATCTCCAAAAGGTCGGCACCGCACTCGTAACTCCTCCGTTGCTGCCGGTGTCCACGGGTAGCGATGATTGCTTAGCATCAGGTAATCCGTTAGCTCAGTCTCCAATAATCCAATACTGTTGAGCTGTGAGCGTAGTTACCACTACTACAGAGATGCCCAACCGAGGTTGCGGGCAAAAAGCAAAACCTGCATATCTAGGTCCGGCACAGTCAGAATGAAGAGGATTTTTAGTCAGTGAGAGTGATGGGGGAGTGCCAGACTCTCGCCCCACCCTATGAATGTCTTTTGATGATTTTTCCTCCTCTATATAATAGTCTTTACCCTTATCTCCCCGCTTAGCAAGCGAATTAGAGATTCAGGTTTATCAGTAAGTGCTGCTTCCTGGTCCGCTCGAAGGGTCCATGTGACAAATAATTATGATAGATATGGATAATTAGTTGTCTTTTCCCTTGTAACATTTTGTTAGGAGTATGTTAATCACAAGCTAAATTTTTTTGATAAATATCTCTTTAAAGTTACAATTTAAACTCTGCACAGCATAGTTTCGTTATTGGGATGAAAGCCAAAATGTTATTCTAAAAAAAATTTAAAAACAACGTTGCCCCAATAAATTATTTTCACCCGTGTCGTAGGTGCGTTTACAAACATACAATTTCACATATACATCACACCCAGACCCGGAACAACAATTTCTGGACACATCGCGTGGCAGCCAGCAGTTCTTATTCGACTGCACGGTTGGTGTGCTGACTGTCTACATATGTCTGTACCTAATAACATTCAGATTTTCATGCCGATAAATGCACTTATAAATTACAGTAATAAAGTAAAGAAAAACAAATCAATTTCAATTATCTTCAAGCTGTTTACTAATTTTATGTTTTGTATCAAATTGATAAGAGTTTCTTTATCGCCTCGTCGTAATCAATGTTGAGAAAAGATTGCTTGTATTAATTAATGAATGAGTAATTTGGTTTGGTGCACTTTACATTTTACGAACACTTTTTAGAGTTTTCGAGCATTTTCGTGAACGCCTGTATATATATGATTCCAATGTATGTTATTGTATTGACGGTGGTTGATTAATAAAACAAAATAAGGAGATAGGTACCGACGCGTGATGGTGCGATGTTTTTTCCTCATTTCGCATAGGATGAACTTCACTAAGGAAATTCCACAATCCACAATATACTTCGTAATAACATGCAACCAATATAACCTTTTTTATTATTTATTTAATCGATCGACTGGCTTTTAAGTACTATCCCTTCAAGGGGCATTAAAATCGCTAAAAACCGCAGTCAGAAGTTAGGTTTGACCCACATTTTACAGGCGGCCGGTATTTGTAATGGTTGCTTTAATCAAAATTTGTTAAAATCTATTTTAAACCTTATATTTTTACTAATAAATTTCCAGAATAACCAAAGCACTCGTAAACCTAGAGGAGTCAGGAGTGCGTTGCCTGCCTTTTGGGGATAAGGGCTTCGGATATTTAATGATTAAGAAGGGATAGGGGAGGGGAGGGATTGGGCCTCCGGTAACCACACTCACACGGCGAAACACAACGCTGTGGGTGTTTCATGCTGTGGTTTTCTGTGAAGCCGTGGTATCACTCCGGTCGAGCCGACCCATTCGTGCCGAAGGATGGCTCTCCCACACTTAAATTCAGAAAAATGTCTCTTAAAGTCTTTAGTCTCGGGACTAATCAATCAACCTGATAAAAACTTGTTTTTTAAATTATATTTAATTAAATTATATTTTGTACAGGTGCTCGCGAGACCCTCTGGTTCGGTTTGGATGCCCATACAGGGGGTATTATATACGAATGCGGTTCTGGTGGATGCAGTACTGAACAGCAGACGGCGAACGCTGGCCGTGACGTCATCGTGCTGAGGAGGCATTCCAATACTGTCAGAGCTTTGGACCCCAGGACTGGGAGCGAGAAGTTAGTAAAAGTTTTGTTTTTTACTAGAGACTAATATAAATCTGCTTTGATTGTTTCAATTTCTGGGTGACAAATTATGTATTGCTGTGATCCCTACTCGGCGCCAATACAATATGTAGTTTCCATTAAGTCAAATTCAATACTTTTATCCAAATGCCAAAAACTATACTTTTCTATGTTTGTATGAAACTCCAAATTATGACGTCATAGTATTTAAGCGTCAAATAGCTTACTTATTTTTTTTTGATAACCTAAATAATATTGAGAATTGAGTGTATCGACTGATCGATAAGTATAGTTATTTTTCTTCAATATTTTGTAGTACTGAAACGTCGAATTAATTTATTTTTGACTTAAGAAACTACGCAATAATTGCAACCTATTATAATAGCAATAAAATGAAATAGTACACCGATAATGGAAAGGAAAATAATGGCAAACCTTCTAGAAGTCAATAGAAGAAGAAGTAGGAGTTAAAACCAGTAAATGATATCCTATCGTACATTCTTCTTGCAGATGGAACTTCAGCGTGGCAGAGCATCGTGTAGCTCTGAGCAGACGCGAGTGTGCCGGAACCCCTCCGGGCTCGGTCCCCGTCACTGTAGCCGTGGCCTTGCCCGAAGGTGTGGTGGCCGTCAAGGATACCACTGGGACCAGGATCTCTTGGCAGCAGAAGGTAGAGAAACACAGATTTGGTTACTGAACATTTTCTTTTATGAAAGGATCCAAACATATCCGAACATTTTATTATCTTTTATCAACCCTACGTTGACGAAACGCTTGAACATTTTCGCCCAAGGACAACCGGAAGACTAGAAGAGAAGTGTGGGAGAGCCAAAAGGCCGGCAACGCACTTGTAACTCTTTTGGTGTTGAGGGTATCTATGGGAAGCGCCGATTGCTTACCAAGTAATCTGTACGCTTGTTTGCCGACTTACGCCATCAAAAAAGTTAGTGCTGATTTGGGGAGGATTGAAAAATTACGCAAGCAATTGATCAAGCGATCCAGCTCCATTTTTTATGGGATTTGTCGGCAAACGAGTTGATGGATTACCGGGTAAGCAATCAGCGCAATCCCTGGACACCCGCAACACTAAAGGAATTACGAGTGCGTTGCTTGACTTTTGAGGATAAGGGTTTATGTGTATTAAAGGATTGTGAACGGATGGGTGAGAGGCAGGGATTGGGCTTCCGGTAACCTCACTCATACAGCGAAACACAACGCTGTGGTTGTTTGACGCCGGTTTTCTGTGACGCCGTGGTATCACTCCGGTTGGGCCGACCCGTTCGGGCCGAAGCTTGGTTCTCCCACGCTTAATTTTGTTTTTTTATTAATAATTTTGATTTCTTTAGTTGGATGCACCAGTAGCGGGAATGTGGCGGCTCCACGCAGGCACTTTGCAGAGTATCGACGTGTTGTGGGAGGCTACACAAACCCTCATAGAGGGCGGGGTCACTCATCAGCCCTCCTTATACATCGGTGTACATGATAGACAGGTGAGTTACACAGTACTGTTTTACATCTTCTGATGATGGAATGAATGTATATCTTGTTGTATAGAATATAAAGTTGATTTTAAGTCTCTCTCTTAAAAGTATGGGTAGCGGCGCGTTGCGTCTCAGTGTTTATCCTAGAGGTTGTGTTAAAAAACCTAATTCTGTAAAGGTTACATAGATTGTGTTCACATATTTTTGCAAGTAGGCCATAATACAGTACTTTTACACGTCAAAATCTATACTTCTACACTAATGTTATAAAGAGGTATACTTTGTAATTTGTTAGGGTGTATGTAGGGAGTAATATTTGGCACCGCTGGTCGGATTATCAAAATTCTTTCACTGATATATAGCTACAATGTTTCTAAGTGTTATAGGCTATAAAACATCACGCTACGATCAGTAGGAGCCGAGCAGCTGGTGAAACCGCGCGAGATTAGCTAGTTACATCTTTAATGCTAGAGTTTAATCTTTTATGCATGCTAGTCATTGAACTCCTCCTAAACTTAAATGAATTTCTCAATTAGAGTGGTGCCCTGGATGGTTTAGATTCACAAATCAGCCCGGCGCTGAATGCTTGAAAAAACATGTGATCTCGGAAAGGCCCTAGCCTTGTTTGCTGAAATTTGATAGGTCCCCCACATATCAAATTTCAGCAAACAGCTTTTCGGGGAGGGCCCGCTATTGTTTATATAAGAAACTAAATGAAGTCGGTATTTCCTATCTGACTACTCTGCGATAAAACACTGAAACAAACTCAGTTCAGACAAATGTCGATACGCCGGTAAAAAGAAAATTCCCATTTCAGCTCTACATACAAGAAAGTCAGTATTACTCGAGGAAAATAGAAACCACGGTGTCTGCTAAACCGTTGCCATGGAAACTGGTGACGGCGCGACCGCAACTCGAGGCAGAGATGGACAATGAACAGACAGCCTTATCTATACAAGATGCTGACCCGAATGCTTTGTCTTTGATCACACTGTATGGGAATGCTGGGAAACATATTGGTGAGTTTATTATTTATATTTATTGTAGTTTCGTGTTTTTTTGTGACATATGTTGCGCAAACGACCAGGCGGACCTGATGGTAAGCAATCAACGCCGCCTATGGACGCTCGTAGTACCGAAGGAGATGTACTACAAGTGCATTGTCGGCTTCTATTAGGGATTTGAGGTTTGGGACTGGGGAAGAATTAAGCCTCAATCACACGGCGAAACTCAACGTAAGTGTTGCTTCACGCCGGTTTTCTGTGAGGCCGTGGTATCACTCACGTCGAGTCGGCTCGTTCGTACCGAAATTTGCCATGGTCAAACAGCATACTTTTTTCTTAAACTGAAACAAAAACAAAAAATTTTATATGCCCAAATACATTAATTTGCGTTTATTTTTGGATATTTATTTGTATTGAAATCTTGGAATTTATTATTGCCCAAGTAAATACCCAACTGTCGTATCTGCTCCACAGGCGACCACGGCTACTTTGTCTACCTCCAAGAAACGTGCGACCAATCAGTACAAGTTACAGATGACATCTTTGACTCTCCCAACATAAGCGACGATATGTCTGAACAGCACCAAATACACGTGCACGTATCTTCACTATGGTATTGGTGGAAGGAGGTTATACTCATAGCTGTGTCCTCGGCTCTGTTGATGAATTTAATGATCTGGCCGAGAATGTTCGCGCCTAAACTACCTCCGACACCGTTGCCGACTAGTAATGAACAGGTTAGTTCTTTTTTACTGTATTTTAGTAGGTTTGGTAGATTAATTTGAGAGTTTATGGTAGAAAAAATAGTGTTGATTTTTCAGAGTAATAATACAATTTTGTTTAGTTAAGGTATTTGCTTGTTTATATACCGTAATTGATTGAATTGATTTTATGTTAAGTTTATATAACGCGGTGGCTGGGTAAACGGCTGCTGCGCAACGTATCGCCGGTTCGATTCCCGCGAGAAACAACTCTTTGTGTGATCCGTAAATTGTTGTTTCGGGTCTGGGTGGTATGTGTATGTCTGTAAACGCAACCACGATACAGGACAAAATTCTAATGTGGCGTTAGGTTTTTTTGATGTTGTTAATTTTATAAGAAATGATGCTGTTTTTTTCAGTTGAATAATAAAATTATATTTGGTTACGATATACACATTTGGTTGATGATATAATTGATTATTGAATTAAATAACAGGTTTTTGTTAGGTTTATATAAAAATTTAAATGTAGAATCGACAAGTTTCAATCATGACCCACTTAAAAGAAAGTTGTTTGAATGTATGTTGCCACCGATTTATTATTTAAATTTATCATTTGTACATTTACTTACTCAAATTATCAGCCTACAAATGCCCATTGTAGGGAATAGACCTCTTCTCAGAAGGAGAAGGTTTGAGCATTAACCACCATCAAATGGGGATTGGAGATTTCAAACTTAATTAGAAATTACAAATCCAGGTTCCCTCACGATGTTTTCCTTCACCGTATATCAATTATGTTTTACACAATCTTAGAAATTACTTAGTAATCATATGACATATTATAAATAACAAAATTACCTAGTCCAAACTAATATTATAAATGTGAAAGTAACTCTGTCTGTCTTTTCTTCACACCTAAACTACTGAACCGATTTCTGTGAAATTTGGTTTACCTATAGTTTGGAACTCGAGAAAGGACATTAGATTTAGATTTTATACCAAAAATTTGCAGGAAGACACTATACCACGCGAACGGAGTCGCAGGCAAAAGCTAGTATTAGTTATATATGTAGAGTATTGTTTCCTCAACCATAATTTTCTCTCCACAGGTAGTGGTACAAGTATACAACTGGCCTACAGAAAAACCAGGTCCAAGTCGGCCAAGTATTCAGGAATATTCCGGACGATATGAGAACGATTTTACTTCGGTAAGGTGTCTGGGTCGCGGAGGTTTCGGCGTCGTCTTTGAGGCCAAGAACAATATAGACGATTGCTCTTACGCTGTTAAGAGAATTACGTTGCCTAGGAGGTAAGGAATTGTGTAAATAGTTAATCGACTGTTATCTCTAGTCCTGTGCCCATAGCTCTCGCCGGAACGCCCATACCAACCTGTTCTGATTTTCGGTACCTTGGCTCGCTTATCCAAGGAAATGGTAAGATAGACCGAGACGTGGCACATCGGATCAACTCAGGATGGATGAAATGGCGACAGGTCACTGGAACAACTTGCGACCCACGGATGACGGACGGCCCCTCAGGTTGAAGGGTAAAATCTACAAGTCAGTGATAAGGCCTGTCCTACTGTATGGGTCAGAATGTTGGGCTCTGAAAAAGACGGATGAAAAGCGATTGCATGTAGCAGAGATGAGAATGCTGATATGGATGTGTGGTTGGACGAGAATGGATAAAGTGAGAAATGAGTATATTGGAGGAAGTTAGAAAGTGGCGCCAGTGACTGAAAGGTTGAAAGGGTTTGTCTTGGTATGGCCATGAGAAAAGGAGGGATGGATAGCATGTTACAAAAAAAGCTATGAGTATAAATGTGGAGGGATGGAGAGGGAGAGGGAGACCAAAGAAAATATGGATGGATTGTGTGAGAAGTGATATGGAAGACAGAGGAGTTAGCGATAGCGTGACGAGTGACAGGGCAGAATGGAAGAAAAAACATATTGCGCCGACCCCAAATAAAACGGGACAAGGGCAGGAACATGATGATGATCTTGAAAGGGCGTGGAGTTAAAATAACCCTTTTAATTTAAAAATATTAAAAAAAAAAACAAGATAAACTCCTCTGTAGTGGTCTATTGATTACTCTTTGAAGCGGGTGCGGAACTGTCGCGGACCGCTCCGTGTCCTCTGGATGGTCCTCACAATGACGCAATAAAGTTGTGACTTAATTTCTGAATAACTAAAGTTCATTTTTGACAACACCATCTTGTTTGACAGGGAATCGAAACGCGAGCGAGTGCTACGCGAGGTTCGCGCCCTCGCCAAGTTGGAGCACGAGCACATCGTGCGGTACTTCAACGCCTGGGTCGAGGAGCCCCCTCCACACTGGCAGAGGGAGAGGGACGCCGTCTGGATGAAGTAAGGCTTTTACATCCAATATATACCGTGCTTTTTAATTGTGTAGCGACAGCTATCGCACAACATTGACATTGACTGCACGACTGGTGCGGTGGCTGGGCAACTGGCTGCCATGCAACGTGTCGCGGGTTCGATTCCCGTACGGAACAACTCTTTGTGTGATCCACAAATTGTTGTTCCGGGTCTGGGTGTCTTGTGTATGTGAAAATGTATGTTTGTAACAGCACCCACGACACAGGAGAAAATCCTAATGTGGGGCAACGTTTTATCAATAAAAAATAATAAAATAAAAATAATAATAACAGCACCAATTACGAGCAACATCGCGCTATAAAAGTTCTCAACGCAATCAGAATCGATACAAAAATCCCGACAACAACAGTCGGGCAGTAGCCCACCAGACGTAACACCCTAAAGGGAGGATGAAGAACTTTCCACCCTGTTCTCTCATACCTATAAAATTCTCTTTATATGTATTACACACATGTTATGTTTTTTTTCACAAGGTTATCCATAAAGTACGTCACATAGATTTCATGTTTTTTTGAGACAAGCCAAAATCACGCGAGGTACCGACCAGGTATGAACTCCTCAAAAAAAAATCCTTAAACCATGCTGTCCTAAAGATAGAGTCGAAAAAAGTACTTTAATTAATACCTCTACATAAATTACATTTTGAAATGTGAAGCCACAAAACTTAGGACCCCTCCTACCCCTTGTCACACTTCATCCTCCCTTCCCCCCCCCCCCCCCTTTACGTGTGACTTACTTTACGGACGACCCCTAAGTTTTGTTAGAAATTGCAATTCGAAACCGAGCGATCATGATATGCGATGAAAGAAAACAGCGTGTGAAGAAATGTGACTTTATAAGTTTATAATGATGTTATAAGTCAAAAAAGGAAATCTTTCCAAAACGAAATGGAAATCTGGGAATCTGGGATAGGGACTTAGTTGTACAAAACCTATACAAATCTAAGTGTGAAGCTATATTAAAAAAAAAACTTTCCAATATTACCGATATTGGCTTATTTAGTACCGATGCTTATTAATATGTGTTTTGTTTTACTTGCTAATTATTCGTCTTCTCTTTGCGTCCCCAAATTCCTTGTTTCTGTATTAATTTCTTCATAAATATCCAAGATTGGCGTCAAATGTTAGTTGTCGGCCATAGCTGAAAATCAGCGCTGCGACACTGTGTCGCATAGTTTCGCTGCATATGCTGAGCGAGGGCCATTTCGCGTGGTTGTGATGCATATTTTTCCTTATTTTACCTACTCTTTTTATATTGTATAACCATGTTTTTTTTTTGTTTTATATTTAAACTTGTCTTGTTTTATTTTGTGCCTCATGTGCGTCCTAGACGCGAATAAATACTTTCTCTTTCTTTCTTCTTTCTTTCTTCTTTCTTTCTTTCTTTGAAGTCTGAACAAAAAGAGGTTATTTATTAGTTAAAATAGTTTAATTCCCTTTACCTTGCGTATGTCTCTCGAAAGATATAATAAATAATATGATATCATTTTTATTGGACAGAGAGTTAGACGGCGTTTCAGTAGCGATGACGGACGAGTACACGGCGACGTCACCCGCTCCAGCTAAGCGGACGCGGGGAGACGTTATGCTCAACTTGAACAAGTCCGCTGACTTCACTGAGCCCAGCAAGCGACTGAGGTATGTTATATAAACTCAAAATTATACTTAATCCTACATTCAATGTTGTCGTGGCAGACCAGAGGTTGAGGTTTCCGCTTCTCATGCATGGGCAAGTTCCAAAACACCTATTATTTTTCAGGTTCCAAGTACTTTTATTATTATTAAGTAATACGTCGGCAAACGAGCAGACGGATAACCTAATGGTAAGCTATTTGCCTCCCATGGACACCTGCAACAACAGAAAAGTTACGAGTGCGTCGGCGATCTTTTGGGGATTCAGGATTAGGAGGTTTAGACCTCCGGTAACCTCACTCCTACGCCGGTTTTATGTGAGGCTGTGGTCTCACTTCGGAGCCGACTTATTCGTGAAGCATGGCTCTCCCACATTTAAATTATTTTATTTTTTATTTATAATTACAAGTTGAAAAGAGTTTTATGTTAAGTTTTTTTCATCTTTCAGGTCCCTAAGCTGCAACGATTCATTCAGCATAGTGTTCGATGAGAATGCGCCCTCCAGGGCCGAAGTGACCAGTTCAGTTCACTCCACAAAACCTTCCCATGTAACGAGTGACGATGACTCTTTCATAGTCTTCGCTAACTCGCAAGAGGGCGCAGAGGAAACGGAGGGCACTGAGAAACATAATTCGTCTTACGATCGAAGACTTGAGAGGGTGAAGGAGTATGATTATAAGACTGAGAGCTCTTGTACGGGGAAGAAGAAGGTACAGTTCGGCCTCCGTATCTTGGCGAGTCTGAAGTTAGCCGTTTGTCTGCGCAATGGATATTTTAGTAACAAAATTGTGTACCTACTGCGCAGGTAATCGGCTAACTTCAGACTTGCCAAGATACGTTGGCGGTAATGTAAAGATTTTATTTTAAAACAAAATGTTACTATGGACTACTAGGGATGTTATGGATATGAAATTTGGGATACGGATTGGATACGAATATAGAAATGATTATTATACTGGATGCAGATGTGAAATTATTTCGGATTATCCGTTACTTTCGGATAATTTCAACAAATAGTAAATTTTAAGGAATTTCAAAAGTAGGTATTAATAAATACATAACGTGTCTGAATTAGAATCCGCCTGTATCCGATATTATCCGAAACTTTTAATTTCGGATTCGGTTCGGATATTTTTTTATATCGGATATCCGATTATCCGATTGTTTTGGTTACGGTTACGGAGCGCCCTAACATCCCTGCAGATAATCAACTTTTGAAAAACACTGTAGGCCAATTAGAAAAATGGTTTTGTGTATCAATTCTCAGAATATCGTTATATTTTAACACTAATTATGAATATTGCTATCGTGCAGGTACACTATATTCTTTCGGCATGATAATATTTCTTTTTGTATGAGTTGGGTCTGCAAAAGTACTGACGGATTACCTGATGGTAAGCAATCGGCGCTGCGCATGGACACCCGCAACACCAAATTTACGAGTTCGTTGCCGGCCTTTTATGGGGATAAGGGTTTTTCAGCCGGGGTTGCGGGGTAAGTGCAATGAGGCACCGCGGCCTCGGCACAGAGCAGGAGAAGGAGGGGGGTTTGAGTCAGCAGGAGTCAAACACTTCCTCCCACCTTTCCCTGAGCGGGAGAAGTCATTTGATGATTTCCCCTCTAGAATTGAGAAGGGCTGGTGAGACGAGACGGTATAAATACTAATTTCACTTTTCATTATAGTTACGTGTTTTGGTAGTGAGCTTATTGGCATACATTTCAAAACACTTTGATAATTAAAAATAAACATTTTCTTTTACAGAAGGGCCACACGCGACACTGGTCGCTGGACATGGTAGTGCGCGGCACGGGAACGCAACCCCCGGAGGGTGCAGTGGGTGCCAGCGAGATGTACCTCTACATACAGATGCAGCTCTGTCGCCGCGACAGTCTGCATGACTGGCTCCGGGACAACCGTCGCTGCGAGGGCAGGGCCGAGAAGGTAAGAAATCCTTCTTCTTTTATTCGTCACGCCTTTAATTTTTGAATATACTATCGTGTGACGTACTAAAGTAATCGAAACTAACGTGAATTAAGTGAGAAAAAATCTACTAGTTTCAAGTCGTAAGAGGAATCTATACTAATATTATAAAGAGGTAAAATTTCCTATTTGTATGTGTATAAGGGGTAATTTTTGGTACCGCTAGTCGGATTTCCAAAATTCGTATACGTATCGTATTCGTATCGATGCAATGTTAAGTAATAAATTACACTTGATTTGCGTATTTTAGTCTAGCTGTCGCTTTAAACGCTGCTGTTTTTAAATTCCCAGAATACATTACTTATGTATTCTGGGATTTCTTTACGCATACGAAGCCGCGGACGAAAGCTAATTTTTCTATAATCTAAAATGTGATCATAATATCTTTTCTTTCTAGGTAAAAGTTCTATTCAGTCAAATAGTATCAGCAGTGGAATATGTCCACCTTGCTGGGCTAATCCACCGCGACTTGAAGCCCAGCAACATTCTGTTCGCGCCGGACGGCCGCGTCAAGGTCGGGGACTTTGGTCTCGTCACCGCCATGACGGACACCTCGCAAGATGGCGACACTGCGCACGTCATGGACGCTCACCAACGACATACTTATAGAGTTGGTAAGTGTAATCTATAACTATATCTTTATATATATAATTCTGCTGTACGTGTATTGTATTGAACTCCTCCTAAACGACTTGACAGATTTAAATGATTTTTTCTGTATGCGTTTGAGTGGTGCCCTGGATAGTTTAGATTTACAAATCAGCCCGGCAGATGGCACTGAATGCTTGAAAACCATGTGACTTCGGAAACGGCCCTAATGATTTCTCAAAAATTTGATATGGGGGGTTTTCAGGGGGGTCAGCTAGGCGTATATATAAAACTAGCGGCCCGCCCCCGCTTCGCACGGGTCCTATCTATATCGCTATCAACGGGTCACTTTTTCCTAATCTCCCCTTTACTTTTCTAATATTTTCTTTGATAAGAACCTTCTTCTGACAATAACAAACACAACAAAAAAAGAATTAACTAAATTGGTCCAGGCGTTGTTGAGTTATGCGCTTACCAACACATTTTGCGATCCATTTTTATATATAAGAAGATTGAATTCCTGTTCGTTAGTCTCGCTAAAACTCGAGAAAGGCTGGACTGATTTGGCTTACTGTGTTTTTGAAATATTCCTGGATATACAGGGAAGGTTTAAAGGGCCTAATAAACTAAAATAATAAAAATAAATATTAGTTATATTTGAGGTAGTACAGAGGTTGCCAAAGCAGCTTCAATGAGCAGAGGGTTCTGTACTAACTTTTAAACTTTCGCGTTTCATCTTAAGAACATTATATTTACGCGGGTATTAACGCGGAAAATTATAATTTGAATACCTTGGTAGGCTTGACGTTTCGACCCGGTTGCACAGGTCGTGGTCACAAGCAGACTGAAGACGCGATGTCACAGCTCCCTGCATTCGGGTGATGAATCTTCATCTACCCCCTTATTTTCATTTTCTACCATATTAGGCCGTCTACACACTACGCTGATTATATCCACAGATGTGTTAACCGACTTTGAAGGAAAGCGAGGTTGTGTTTTGCTCTCTCCTATCTACATAACTTTCAACCAAACCGCTGCAGCCGTTTTCGCGTAAAATAATACTTAACAAACATACATCCATACATTGTCACAAAACTTTCACATTTATTATAATAATTGTAGGATCGTTATTAATAATGCCACTTTTATTTCATAGGTACCCATCTGTACATGTCTCCGGAACAGTTGGAAAGTCGCCCGTATAGTTACAAAGTGGACATATACTCGTTGGGACTCATATTGTTTGAGTTACTGCAACCATTCTCCACGGAATCTGAGCGCGTCGCCTGTCTGCTGCAACTGAGACAGCATAAATACCCGCCTGAGTTCATTCAGGGGTATCCCGAAGAGGTGAGTTGATATACAAACTAATATTATAAATGCGAAGGTAACTCTGTCTGTCTGTCTTTTCTTCACGCCTAAACAACGGATTTCTGTGAAATTTGGTAGAGACATAGTTATTATGTACCATTTTATGGGATATGTGATAAAAGCGCCCAGTAAATAATTATTTTGAAAATAGACTGGACAAAATCTTCAAAACCGTTAATACGCACGCATCAGCTTTCTAAGCTGCTAGTCTGTTCTAGTTTAATTAAAATTAATGACGTCAAATGAGCAGACTGATTACTTACCTGATTGTAAGTAATCGGCGCCACCCACCAGAGAAGATCACGAATGCATTGCCGGCCTTTTGGGGATTAGTGTTTTGAAGATTTGGGGATTCCCCCTTAATCCCCAAATCTTGTTTTGAAGATTTGGGGATTGATGATTGATGGGAGTGGGAGTAAAATTAAGCCTCCGGTAACCAATCACACGCCGAAACACAACGCTTATGGTGTAGCCGTTCTTGAGATATAAATAGTGTATCGTTTAAAAGTGCCTGTAATGGTTCTCATTGAATCAAAATTATTTAGATTTTGTTTGAGAAGAAATTTGAATATTGTAACTTCAGTTTCCAATTGGTTAGCCAGGGACAGTTTTTATATCAGACAAAAGGTAATTACTGTTGATCCAAAGCTTCCGCCAACGCCTAGTATATATATTCCGTCATACATTTTCGCACCTTCATCACAATATTAAATTCTAAAACTATTCTCAACAGACGGAGGTACTGAAAATGATGCTGAGTGACGATCCTTCAAAGAGGCCCACGGCGACCGGAGTAAGGGCACGGGCACCCTTGTACCAGCAAACCAATCCCGAACATCACTTTACATTACCGGCCATGGCTGCTGCGTAATACGGTAGCTTTTTATCTACCCTTAATATTGTACACTCCTATTTAATAAGTTAACGCCTTTTATCCCCCAAATGGGGTTAGCAGAGTTGCTTGAGTATTATTATTATTGTAACACTTATTTCTAATAATTAAAATTATGATTTGTATTTAGAATGGAGTGAGTTTTGTCCTTTTAACGAACAGCATGCTTAGTGGAAGCTTTTTCACCGGGTCGCGTTGATATAAATTACGTTTTAGAAGATGGCAAAATATCACTGAGAGTTCACAAAAAAAGAAATATAAATCGGTATTAACTTTACTTGATCGAATCAGTGAAAAAAACTCATATAAGGCACTCTTGACAGTCATAATAAGATTTAAAAATATTGTTTAGAAATCAGCTCAGTATTCTAATCACGGCCTTATTACAAAATAGAATGCAAGTGTTCGTGTCACTTTTAAAATATGCATCTCTGTTGACCCCATCTGGTGGTACGAGAAAGTTATATCTAAATAGGCCGTTAACTTTGAAAATGCCGTTACTGCTATATAATGGCCGTTATAACGGCATTTTTAAAGTTATTCTAACACGATTAAGAGTGTGGATTATCACATTATAAACTAAGAAATAATTTTACCATGAGAGGTAAGCAATCTTGAGGCTTGGAGACGTAGTTATAAGATCTATTTTACCTTAAGTCAGTTCCGAACAGTTATGGAAAAGTATGCTTTATTGATAAATAAATTATAATTAAATATTTGACGATGTTTGCTGTTAACAAGTTTTTAACCTTATAAACGTGTTAGTAAGGGTGAAAATACTTTGAAGTAGGTAAATACTTACATTGAATTGTAGATAAAATAAACTATTACATATGTAAAACTTAAAAATTAAATAAATGTTTCGATAAATAAAATAGCCGCTATTCTAATAAGGTTACAGTCTAAATTACAGTTTAACATAATTTGTAATAATACCAGTGAAAGTACCATTGTGTTTAGACACAATATTAAAAAATAAAACAAAGCCCCCATTAATTTATTCTTATGTTTAGGTATAATTTATTTTCTCTTACACTAAACAACATTTTAAGTATTTCTAAAGCATTTACTGCTATACTATGCAGCTACTAACATTTTTCTTTGAAAAGTCTTTTAACATCTAAAACCGTATAAAAAAAGAATAGTAAAGAAATTATACACTCGATAAATCTTCACCTAGACCCATTTTGACGACAAGTCGTTTGAAATCTTCAAATGACATTTAAGAGCTACTTTTCAATGGGTAGTTTAGTTTAGTAAAAGTTACCTAGGGAATAATTATGTAGCTGTCGCGTCAGAATGTTTGTATAAGACAGTGACAGCAACAATTTTATTCCACAGATAAACATTTATTTGACTATTGAAAAATCAGTTCTAAGACCAAAAATATTACATAGGTCATGATTTCAATTAGTCGATTGTATTAATCAATTTTGACATTATGAAGGAAACATACACATTATTTATGCCAGCATGTTGCTTTAAGCTGATTTTTAACTTGATTATAAAACAGTAAGGTTGTTATTCAATTAAACTTTGATCTGCTAATTTCTGTTTTAACTTAATGTACGCTTGTCTCCAATCCAAATCTACCAAGCGTGGACATTACAACAAATTCTCTTATAAAGAGAAGGCCCGTTGTCTAGCGTTGGACTATAAGGGTCTTATGATAATGCGTATTCATAGCTGGCTTCTTGTTACGAGGCGTATTTAATAACATTTCTGTAAATTCTTTAGTGATACTTGATAGTAACTTTTGCAACAGAATGTTATCAAAATTAATCATTTTCAACAAGACTTGTTTACTAAGCTTTCAATTTTTTTTCGTTTCACTTAAGTACCGTTTTACCAGATTAAAAGTGTAAGTAAGTAGTAAGTAAAAAGTATAATTTTTAGTCTTAGGGCTGATTTTCCAATAGTCAGATAAATGTTATCTGAGGAAAAAAATTGTTGCTGTCACTGTCTTATACAAAGATTCTGACGCGACAGCATCATAATTATTCCCCAGGTAACTTTTATCTAACCATTGGAAAATCAGCCCTAAGACTAAAAATAATACTTTTTACTACAATAGCAACATTTGCAATCAATTTGTAACCAACTAAAACAGTATTTTCACACAAATTAATGTCAAATTGAGTCTCGTTGTGACTTGAATAGTTTCAAGTAGAGCTTTTCTCAGTTAATTCTTGTAAGTCATGATTTTCAATGAAAACAGTCCTTTTTTACATTCTTATTGAAAATGATTGATTGTTATAAGCAATAAGTAGACATATTTTAAGGATAAGTACAATCGGCGAACATATTTCATACACAAGTTAAAATAAAAGTACCATAAGTTCGTGTTACTTTGTTCCTGTGGCTGTAACTTTGATCCGATAAAAAAACGTGTATACTGTTGTGGGTTATTACTGATTAAGGAGTTTGGATTAAGTCAAAGTATCCCCATCCCTAAGATGGGGATACTTTGACTTTGGGGGTAACTTATGTAAATAATTTTGTCGATTGTACCTACATAGCATAGATATTGTATTAGCTAATGAACGTAAGACTGGAGATGGGTATTGTCGGAATGTTATCATTATTATTATAATATTTTTAATATACTAAATATTAATAATAAAATTCTACTTACTTAGATGTGTTTTTGGATTGTGTCAAAGATTGTTAAACTTTTCGATTAGTTTGTAAGCGCAACTGTAGATTTTGGTTTCGACTACGAAGGAACGGTAGTTAATAGGGATTTCGATTTTTGAAATTCGAAGTTATTGTTTTTAATGTGGTAGTGTAGATAGCTTCCTTATTACTTGGACCTCATCACAGCATAGTTGGTTCATCACCGCTTAAGTTATGTAAAAAGAAAGTTAACAAAATTATGTGTGTAGTACTTTACCTAACTGTGTTGATCTTTAAAAATATTACTTTAATGTGAAAATAGTTGTTGCAAATCTGCACCTTAGAAACATAGGGCACAAAGTACATTTTAGTAATTCAGCATTTTAAATCTCTCTGATGATTCGAAGGACTCGGTCCGGAGTAGTAGAAGGAGGGATGGTTACATTTGGTTTTGTCAGGAAGAGTCTGAAACTAACTCCTATCCTAGCTTAAGCTGGAAAAGTCAATGGACGATTATTCCTCCTCAAAATGGAGGCCTAAAGTATTTACATTAAGAATCATATTGGCTTAATACTAAAATGCACTTTGGCTCTTAAGACTCTAAAGGTCTGTTTCAACATCTTCATATCAAGTAAACAGTTCATAAAAATATCGTTCTATGTTCTATATTCAAGTGTATCTGGTACAGCGGCCTTTGAACTTTGTGATATAGGCCCTAAGGTGCATTAATGGTTGACTAAAGAATTGTCACATAAGTCGTTAGTTGTATTTGAATACTCTTTAACCGTATTTAAGAGATCGATGTTATAGTTATGTATGTAGCCTTAAAGTCTAGTAATGCTGATATTTTTAAGAAATATTGTTTCTGTATTGAGTTTGTGATTCAATCACATTCCTACATTGTAATTATATAAATTAGCTGTAACGCTAAATAAATAAATGAATGATCATGTGATTTTTGTTTTTTTTTATAAACTGCATTGAAATTTTGGTATTATTGGTTCAACTACACTTATATTGAGCAATTAGCGACAAAACCAAAATACTATTGAATTTGGTCCACAGTTGCGCCACGTGAGTGAGCTTACCGACCCTATCCCCCCATTCCTTGAATCCTTAAATCTCCAAAACTAATCCCCAAAAGTTTGGCAACGCACTCGTAACTCCTTCGTTGTTGCGGGTGTCATTGAGCGGCGCTAATTGCTTGCTATTATGTCGTCCGCTTGTCGACCTACTACATAGAGAGACGCATGATAGGCAATGGAGATCGGTAACGACGTGCGTGTGCGTGCAACGAGCGTGAGTGATACCACGGCCCAACAAGAAACTAGCGTGGACCAAAGCTTGAATTGTGTTTAATCCTGTAAGTGAGGTTACCAGGCCCAATCCTCCGCATAAAAGGCTAGTAACGCATGTGTAGTTATTTGAAGGCTGCGCATTTTCTAAGGGCAACGCTGATTGCTTACCATCAGATAATTTGACTCCGGTAGGCCTCAATCTCAAAAAAAGTCCAACATTCTATAATAAGATACCGGACGACGCCGACGGCGTTTCCCAAATCCTTATGAATGCCACCATCCAAAGATGACCCACCTTTTTAGAAAATTACCTAATAATTGAGAAACTCTTTTGGCGCACAAAAAAGTTATACATAAATAAAACAGCAAATCGGTTAAACAATATAACTTATGTTTTAATAATAATTATAAATAAATCGTCACCATTAAAATAAGACATTATATACAAATATTTCGATCACATACTTAATACTTGAGTTAATACTATTAGTAACAAGTGCTTTTAGCATTACATCGGCTCCACACGTTGGGTCCAATATTGGTGGTAACATTTGAACCTGGAAAACGGTTAACCAAAGTTGGCACCAATGCTATTTTCCAGTGCCGAAAATCAATAACAGATTCTAACCATCTTTGTATTAAGATGAATTTTTGTATGAAGTTTTTGTTGATATCTTAGATTTCGATTTGTGTTGGCGTCAACATGTGAAGTCGATTAAACAATTTTAAACCATAAAGTAACAGACATATACAACAAAATCCTTAGTATGTATTTCTAAAGCTGTATATCTGCCTCCCGCTCACACCTACTTTGTTAGACAGAGAGGCAAATAAAAGCGCGGCCATATTTCATTAAAATATCGTGAAAAGGCATATTTACAGTGTACAAAAATCAAAAAATGTTATACAGTATTAAGGAAGTACAAATCGGAACGTTGTTAATGTTTGTTTTATTTTTTAAGTAATAAAGACCACATCAGCTTGTTTTCTATGGTGTCAAGTTCAAATTAAGATAACATGTTAATTCACCTACATGAAGTAAATATAAAGCCTTTTACACATAGAAAAGGCACAAGAATCTGCTTGACCATCACCGCCATAACTGATTGGGCACAAGGCTGGGTTTTACTTACATTTTAATACAGACATTATGATTATAAAACACTTGGATAAAAAATCCTTTTAAACTGCACGGTTGGTGCGGTGGCTGGGCAACTGGCTGCCGTGCAACGTGTCGCGGGTTCGATTCCCGCACGGAACAACTCTTTGTGTGATCCACAAATTGTTGTTCCGGGTCTGGGTGTCATGCGTATGTGAAATTGTAGGTTTGTAAACGCACCCACGACACAGGAGAAAATCCTAATGTGGGGCAACGTTTTTATAAAAAAAAAACTGTCAATGTAGTTCTTATATTAACTGTATTATAAGAAGTACATTGACAGTTTAGAGTAACAGTAAAAGGATAGAAATTGCAAGTATAATTATTATAATATAATAAATAAATTTTAATTGATTGTTATTAACAGTTTACTAATAAAAACATTGGAGCCGTTTTTGGAACAATTGACGCGATTGCCATTAGAACTCTTGCATTTTTTGGATAATTTGGAGTAAGCCAATCAGACCGAACTTTATAAACGTATGATCACCTTAAGAGAAGCAACTCGCACTAGGCCCTAGCACCCAGATCATGGGAAAATTCGCTAAGGCTTGCAATAAAATTCTAAGGAACATATTTTCGAAAAATCCTTAAATTGTGTGCTTGACTCACCACCCACACATTGTGTGAGCTAATAAATATAACGTCTTCCATATTCAAATTTATGTGGAACATAATGACTGATAATGATGAACATAGTTTCCTAGGTCAAAAATAAATTAATTCGACGTTTCAATATAATAAAATATTGAAAAATAACTATACTTTTATTCATCGATCGATGGATACACTAAGTTTAAGATATTTTGTAGCTAATTATTAAGAAATAAGTAAGCTATTTGACGCAAAAACACTATGACGTCATAACTCAGTTTTTCATACAAATTTCAAAGCTTTTGACATTTGGATAAAAATTATTGAATTTGACTAGTT